CTTACTTTTAACTGCTCGAATAAAACTAGACCTAAGTTATAGGTCTATACTTAAACGAATTGATAATTTTAAGAATCGATTAGCCTATCTCAATTATTCGCTGTTAGGAAATGATTACAAACAAAAAGTTAATGTATTTATAAAAAATGCATTCTTATGACAAAATTAAATTATAAATTTCTCAGATAAAAAAAAAAAACTACTGATTAGTGAAATTAAGAGAAAATTATATTCTAACAAAATCAGAAGCAAAATTTTAAGGCCGCCGAGGAGATTCGAACCTGGGATCTCAAATAATAATCGTTATTGCTTTTTAATAATTATTATTGAGCGGAGCGTAGCGAAGCGAGTGAAGCTCTTATCATTGACTTTATAACTTCTCTTATACTACACTCCTGCTTTTGATTAATAGCATTGAGCATAATTTACTACAAAATGAATAACCATAAGGGTTGCCAGAATTAGAATAATGGACCATATTGCGTTTGGATCATAGATAAAACATACTCTTGGTTAGTCTATGGTTTGGATACTGTAAATAACTTTTACAGTATTTTATGTGAGCAAGACGTGCCATTAATGTAGGCTTTGTATATTTACTGCAATTCCTATTTGCAGTCTACAAATAGGAATTCCATTATTGTGAACCAAATTTAACACTCATAGTTTCGATAACGCAATTAGACAATTCGTTGACGTAAACCCGACGCATCATTTACTTTGAATACTGCACATAGACATCCCATATAAGTGAAGCAGAAGTAGGCCTAAGCCTACCATTGACTTCGGACACTGCAATTCGGCATTTTATTTAAGTGAACGAAATAAATGGACCATTGATTTAGGATACTGCAAGTAGACTATTCATTTACATGTACCATTGAGTTTGGATACTACAAGTAAACTATCCGTCTACGTGAACCAGACGTACCATTGACTTAAGAATCTGTAAATAGGCATTACATTTATGCGAACTAAATATATTATTAGCATTGGATACTGCAAGTAGACATTTAACTTATGAGAACCAGATGAAACATAGAATATGGTTCCTGCAAGTAGACAATTCATTCACTTAATCCGGACTTATGATTGACTTTGGATACCTACTGCAAATAGGCATTCTATTTAAAATGCGAACCAAATATATCATTGACATTGAATTAATATGCTGGCTCCGCTCAATATTGCAAGCAGACAACTGCATTGTACACCTAAAGGCACACATACCTAGTTCGAGTCGGTTTGGGCTGGAAACAGCGAGATGTGTCTTCAGCAAAAAGACATAATTCACTCTTTTGAACAACTAACGGGACGATGGGAGGTCGTTGAGGAAGAGGAGGAACAGTACCGGACCAAGAACCGACCCCTGAGGCACTCCACTGACGATCGTACCAGTTGAGGATCTGTGAGGGCGTAAGTAGACACCCAGTGCTTAGTGCTATCCAATGCTTTCACCTCTACATATTGACTTCGGTTGGCAAGGTAATACGAGATCCATTGTAGTGACAGCCTTCTAATTCAATAAGAGTGTAACTTCTTCTTGAGAAGGTCATTTTTGTATTAGTTTTCACAGCCTGATCAAGGCCGCACAATTTTTATTTCACTATTAGTTTTGTCATTTAGAGACTTCTGATTGGCTGACGTCACTTTTTTCAATTTTTTTTATTGGTAGGTGGAATGCGTTACGCACTTCTACGATACGTTGAGCGCTGGGGTTGGGGGAAATGGGCATACGGGAGGGACGATGGCTAAAGGTGTGGTGACGTCATATCTATAATGGCTAATAAATGTCTCTTGAGGCAACACGATTACCGTAACGAGACGATGTGATTTCAGCGGAGTTCGTGGCATAGTTGGTAGCGCATCAAACTAGTGTTCAGGAGGTCTCGAGTTTGAAATCCGTCGGGGACATTAACTTTTTGTCAAAGATTTTGCTTTATTTGGTTTTTATCTTATATCTTTTTTTATATCATCAGCAAGTTTCGTTGGTTAGGTTATGACAATTTAATTTTATTATACAAAATTTTAAAAATGATTTTATTATTAAAAATTATAAGTAAACATTCATTTATTTTTTATCTTATATATTTTTTATATTATCAGCAAGTTTGGTTGGTTAGGTTAGGTTATGACGGTTAAATTTTATAATTAAAAAGTTAATTTTATAACTAAAAATTATAAAATTAACTTAATTTAAATTTGTCAACTTAGCGAGCGGCGAATGCTGACACTATGTTAGCCATCGTCCCTCCCGTGTGTCCCACCGGGGGTTGGGGTGGTATTGTAAAAACAATAACAATCAAATCAAAACAAATACAGGGTCCGGCAGAAAAACCTCCCCTAAAAGGAAAGCTAATAGAAACAAAACCATATAAGGTAGAACATTTTTATTTATACCAACTAAAAGTACATATTCTGCCATTTTAGAAAATGTACCATTCTTAGGGTTTACCATTAGTCTTACTTTTTAAATAAAACATCTCTTAAATGGCTTCCTTTACTGTCGACACACTGGTTGAGTCTTTCCCTTAAGTTATCCATTACTTGTTGAGTCATTTCTGGAAGAATAGCTTCAACCTCTTGTGTAATTGCTTCTTTCAGGGCTCGTAAAGATTGTGGACGTTGTTCATAAACTTTTGATTTTAAATAGCCCCAAAGGAAAAAAATCACAGGGCGCCAAGTCCGGCGATCGTGGGGGCCAGCCAATGTCACCACGCAACGAGATCACATGGCCAGGAAACATTTTCTTCACCAATGCCAGTGACTGCCGCGCTGTGTGGGCTGTAGTGCCATCTTGCTGGAACCACACGTTCTCAATTTCACCAAAAAGTTCCCTTAGTTTCGGTTGGAGAAAGTTGCGGAGCATGGCACAATAGCGTTCACTGTTGACGGTTAAATTCCTGTAATTTTCTTCGAAAAAGTAAGGACCGATCACTCCGGAATTGTAAACAGCACACCATACTGTTACTTTCGGGCTATGAAGTGGCCGTTGATGAAGTTCTTGTGGGTTTTGTTCAGACCAGTACCTACAATTTTGGCTGTTCACTGTTCCGGAAAGGTGAAGGTGTGCTTCATCAGAAACAATCACTACATCTTCGGGACGAATGTTTCGAAGAAGGTCTCGGCACAACCTTACACGGACACCACAGTCTCGTTCACTCAGTTCTTGTGTAGTTACAATTTTGTAAGGATGCATTTTTAAATCTCGATGCAAGATTCTTCTCACACTCCGATCAGAAATCCGTAATGCTGCCGCATGCTTTTTAGCGGTTCGTTGAGGAGATTGTTGAACTGAAGCTCTAACTGCATCAACGTTTCCGGGGCCTGTTGCAGTCCGTGGTCGTCCAAGTGGTTTCCGTTTTAATGCAGAACCTGTCTCACGAAAGTTAGAAACCCAAGAATGAATTGTTTTCTTATCGGGAGCGGGGTCCCGTCGTCCCAAGCGTGTTCAAGGACAAACACGCTTTTTTTTTTTTTTAAAGCGAACACGAAAAGCCATTTTGAATAAAATTTTCTACTACGAATGCACGATGTTCACCAGACCACGCCATGGCGTACACTGAAAACGGCACGTACGTAGGCAGCTACTCAACTCGACGTTCTGTACCCACGAGCACCTCAGCTTCCACAAGCACAGAAGGCCCTGAAACAGTTCCTGGGATAACAGCTATTTGTGTAATAGCTTCACTGTATATCTTTATTTGACCTGTTAAGATAGTTGTTTCAACAGTTGCAGTTGCGAACATCGATGTATAATACTCTTGCGAACTGTGCATTGTGATTTTAAGGTGTTTATTCTTTACTGTTTGTTTATTTTTGACTTGAGCTGCTTGATAAGGTGTTTTATGATTATGAAAATGAAAGTGTTGTGAGTGAGCTGAAATAATTCATTTTGCGTGCATGAATTATTTATGAAGTTTTATGTTCACTTAACCTATCTTTTTTGGATTCCTCAAGAGAGAGTGAGTGTTAATGTTAGGTTGCGTTGCGTTTGTGTGTGAATTTGTTAGATTGGAGTTTTGGTAGTGGTAACTTAGGTCTCGGTTTATTTTAAATAAGTTAGTTGGGCCTTTCAGTGGAGTTTAGGTCTAAGTTATTGCCTTTGAAAAAGTTAAATTAATAACTTATCTATTTATAAGAGTATGCCTAAGTTTACCTTAGAGACTTTTGACCTACCACTACCAAAACTGCAATCTAACATATTCACACACAAACACATAACCTAACAATCACTCTCTCTTGAGGAATCCGAAAAATATAGGTTAAGTAAACTTCATAAATAATTCATGCACGCAAAACATTTAGGCTAATTGTCAATACCTAATAACAAATCAGCTTCAGCTCACTCACAACACTTTCATTTTCATAATCATAAAACACCTTATCAAGCAGCTCAAGTCAAAAATAAACAAACAGTAAAGAATAAACACCTTAAAATCACAATGCACAGTTCGCAAGAGTATTATACATCGATGTTCGCAACTGCAACTGTTGAAACAACTATCTAAACAGGTCCAATAAAGATATACAGTGAAGCTATTACACAAATAGCTGTTATCCCAGGAACTGTTCGAAGGCCTTCTGTGCTTGTGGAAGCTAAGGTGCTCGTGGGTACAGAACGTCGAGTAGCTACACTCAAGGACGCGCCCCCCACCACTCTGCTCCTTCTACTGTCCACCTGTCCACATCACGTTACTTTGTAATCGCGGAGTTTTTTTCTGCCGGACCATGTACATACTAATTTGACAGGGACAATCAGGCGATCTTTTGTTTGCAATCCGAGTGACGTCAGAATATGATGGGAATTAGCACACCCATGTTATTTCCTTCCACCGACCACCATGCCAGATGCCAGCAGAAAACATTGGTTGTTTGGGGCCGCAGCTGTACCAACCGTAAAATAATCTTTGATTTTTTTTACGATAGTGCCAGCCGTATTAGCCTATGAAAAGTGAAAAAGAATAAGAAAACTAAATTTAATTAAGTAAACACACACAACAAACGTCAAACATGGTTGTGGGACCCGTCGATCACACTATTCAAGCTGATATAATTTTTGTTATTGAAGGGACTGCAATTAACGGCGCTTATTTAAATGATCTAAAGTCAAATTATATTATACCAACATTAGAGTGAGTACCATGTTGAATCTTTTTCTTTTGTAGCAATTCAACTTGCTCTAGGCCAGGGCCTGAGGCTGGCACCTTAGGTAGGCTAGATTAATTAGGATTAAATCTCCGGAAAAATATTTTACCTACAAACTTTTTGTTTGAAATCAAATCACATAACTTTATTTTAAACAAAAAGTTTGTAGGCTAAAAAAAATCGCAGAGGATACGCGTCCGGTAACAGGACGAGGATTAGGTGTCCACGGCAGTTACTGTCATAACCTAACCTAACCAACCAAACTTGCTGATAATGAAAAAAAATCAAGTGAAGGTTCAATTCTCTTCATAACATAAAATTATAAATGCCAAAAATGTTAACAAAAGCTGTACAGTTAAGAAGAAATTACGGTAATTCTGAGCAATTACTTGGTCAGCCCCAATTTTTTTCATATTTTACTATGGTCATCAGGAGGTTCTCAGAAAGTAAGAAACATATAATTCAAGGTTAATTTAGGTTAGGTTAGGTTAGGTTAAGTTAGGTTATTAATTAACGTAACCTAACGTAACGGTACTGATACAATTGGCCTTAGAGATGTATTTGAGACTAAACAAACATAATAAGTTAGGTTAGGTTAGGTTAGGAGTTAGGTTATTAATTACCTCAGTAATCGCCGGGTTCAACGTCCTCATCCGAGTCAGCGGCAACTGGATCAACGCCGCAAGCCACTGTTATCGCTTGGACTTTGAACCTTCTTATCGCTCGGCAACCTGTACGATGGCCTTGCGGGCCTTGAATTACATGTTTCTTGCTTTCTGAGAACCTCCTGATGCCCGTAGTAAAATATGAAAAAAATTGGGGTTGACCAAGTAATTGCTCAGAATTACCGAAATTACATTCAAAGCAAAATCTGTGACAAAAAGTTAAAGAAACCGATGTGTTTCGAACCAGGGACCTCTTGGATATCAGCCGAGCACTCTATCCACCACACCACGAACAACGCTGGCCAAACATCGTATCGTAGTGGTAATGGCGTTCCGGAACCCCACAACCCGGTGACGTCACTACCAGACGCCTAATCCACGTCTGGTTACCGGACGCGTATCCTCTGTGAAAAAAAAACGTAGTTTGCTAAATTAAAAAATTCTAAGTAGCCTAGCCTAAGTTATGCCTAGGCCTATGTCCTGTGTAACTTTAGGGGCAAACAAATTAATGTTTAATGCATGCCAAAAACCGCTAATGGTAGGCAAAAGTAGGGGCCTACGGCCAAAAATGTCTATTTAGGCCTAGGCTACTGTAAATCTTTTTCTGATAAAATCCTGTTTTGGTTTGCCGAAAGGCAGAGGATACGCGTCTGGTCCAGTAACCAGACTTGGATTAGGCCAAACTTGTTGGCAATGAAAAAATCGGTAATTATTTACCGTATTTACACTGGGATATGATGTAATTTTGATATGTCTACTTACAGTATTTTTAACGCTGAATCCAAAAATGCAATCAGTTTTGGTTGGAGAGATTCCTATGTGGCCGTATAGTTAAATAATTAATATTAAGCTTCGGTTTTGTAGATTTATTAACATATTTGTGGTAGGCTATGGACGAGTCCAAGTTCTAGTGGCGACTAACACTAAAAGGGGTGGAAGGTTTGTGGAGTGGAAACAGCTGTCAGCTGTTTACATTCAATACTAAACTGACAAAACCACACACGACGCCATGAGAGCAAAATCAGAGTTACAATATGCAATAACTAACTTAGATTTTTCAAAGAAAATGGACTTTTGTACTGTTTAGAAAATACAATAAATCAACTACAATACATAAACTATTAATCACATGAACATAAAATATAAAACAAAATAGAATTTATTCACGTAAAATATCAGTAATAGAAGCTAGGCCCCTGCCGACATGATCATAGTCCTCATTCCAATCCTCAACCATTGGCTAATGCCTCAACGTCTGTTAACGAACATGCCATAGTGCATAATCCCATAGTACATAATCCCATTGTGTCTAAAAGTGAAAACGTGCCACAGTGCATAATTTAATGTATCAGCAACTAATAAATTATGTTACATAATCTAATCTAATATAATCTAACCTAACCTAACCCAACCCAACCTTAATATTAATGTTTAAATTGCAGTTTATGTCAGAAAAGGCATGTGAGGAAAATAGGTCGGACTCTATGCGGATTCGTGACTATATTAAGTCCTTTGAAGTGAGGTTAGATTAGGTAAGTTAAAGGTTAGGTTATAATGAACCTAACCTTTACCTTCCTAATCTAACCTCACTTCAAAACACTTAATACAGTCACGAATCCGCATAAAACCTGACCTACCTTCCTCACATGCCTAAATAAGAACTGATTATTTGGTTTCAAAAATCAAAACCAATTGATTTGATTTAATTCCGCATTAGATCAAGTATAAACAGTTGTTTGCTCTTCTCACTCAGTCCTCCTCACTCCTCACTCAGTGACGTAGCCAGGGGAGGGGTCCTGGTGGTCCGGACCCCCCCCTTCTGGTCTTAAATATAATATTTTTTGTTAAATTAAATGTAGAATTATATAATCGTACTGTATTGACGTTGGGGTTGATTATTTTCAATGTCAAGAGAGCTAAAAAAAACCGTTTTAGGGTCCTATATTTTTAAACGTTTTCCCAGACCCCCCCCCCCCTTTACCCAGACTCCCCGGTCGGTCGACCCCGCCTATTTTGAAATCCTGGCTACGTTACTGCCTCACTCAGTACGGACCCGTCCAGTCCAGACCAAGCCATGTTGCCATTACCTTCAATACCGCTCAATTATCCTTAGATTCGTAATCCTAACCTTCGTTTTACGGCCACTATGTCAACTTAGGAATCGCTCCGACAAAAACTGATTGCATTTTTGGATTCAGCGTTAAAAATACTGTAAGTAGACATATAAAAATTACATCATATCCCAATGTAAATACAGTAAATATTTGCCAAAAAATTGAATAAAAGTTAAATTCTGTTAACCCTTTGGGTGCCAGAAATTTATTTTGGTTGGCTACTTTCCGAAAAGTGCCAGGCTTTCCATAGGGACGAAGTTTAGTGCGCAAGAATACTAATCAGTAAAAGTTTAAATTTTCATCCCAAAAGTGCCATGGAATGATATATTGTGCCTCGATCGTATGAAAAATCGATTGAAATCACTGTTGTTTTAAAATAACAACCGAGTCAATCGATATGCCAATTAAAACTCACATGATTGAAAGGAGCGCCGGCCCGATTTATCGTTGCAATGTATTTTTCGGTAAGACTACAGACGACGATGTATCGTTGTGAAGTATATTTTTCAGATGTGTTGTGCCAAACGATAATCGTTGCATGGCACTCAAAGGGTTAAGAAAAAAAATGATAAATGCCTTAAATTCTAACAAAAGATGCACAGTTAAGAAGAAATGGCATTCTAAGCAAAATCTTTAAGACAAATTTAGTGACACCAATGGGATTCAATCTAAGTATCTCTTGAACATCAGCCGAGTACTCTATCCACTACACCACGAACACCGGTGTACCGGCAGTACACCGTATCGTTGTGGTAATGGTGTTCCGGGCCCCACAACCCGGTGACGACACTGCCGGACGCCTAATCCACGTTCGGTTACTCGACGCGTATACTTTGGGGCGAAAAATTTTTAGGCCTATCAAAAAATTGCCAATTCTCAGTCTTTTTAACTGTTCTTATACTTTTAAAAAGTATACTAATTTTAGTATACTAATTACCGTTCAAATGTAGGTGGTTATAGAGGGGATGAAATCCATCCCCTCAACGTCTTGATCCTACTATTAAATGTAGCTCAACAGCTGAGATTTGTCAAAACGTCAATCAGCAGCAACATATGTTAGCCTACATTAAGCAGAAAAAGTGGTGGAGGAACTTCCCCTCAAACTGCTTAAATATTGTGAACATAGTAGCCTAGTGACTTATATCAATGACTCCAATCAGTCTCTCCAATTACTTTATAATATTTAGACCAATTGTAATGTTGTGTTAGAAGCAATTGCCTAGAGAAAGATTAGTTTATAGCCTAAACCACATTATTAACATCAAGTTTTATTTTAGATATTTCAGCCAAGGGACAATTGAAGATTATGTCTGTGAAGTAAGTAAAACTGTAAAAAATCAATTTGTTATTACTGTATTCATGAAATAGGTAAGTAGCCTAGATGAATTTTTGCTTGGAGATTGCATTTATTTTACTAAAGTATAAGCTACGTACCTTATTTACGTTAACCTTAAAACGGCCAATCGGTAATTTTATGGCCAATCAGGGTCCTTTGTGTAGTGACATCAGTGACAAAATTACTGGTCCTTCATTTTACTTATATTCAAGCAATCAACAACAGATTGAGTTAAATTAAGCATGTAGGTAGTTAAAAAAGTTAAAGATAGGCCTATTACTTGGATACTTACTTGGATACTTGGAGAATTCCCACTGGTATCGCATCAGCGACGTGGTCGTCAGGTTTTTTTACATTTCTTGATAATAATTTAAATAGATGGATTCATTTCCTCTTCAGGGATGTACATGGCCTAGACATATATTTCATCAACACTGTAGTACTCCGCTTGACTTAAGAATGTTTTTAGCAGGTTCTTGAATTTGTTGATAGAGGGCTCTTGCGTGATGTACTGAGGCAATTTATTGTAAATTTTTATACTATTGAAGTAAGGGCTCTTGCTTGCAAGGGTGGAATTTACTTGAGGTACATGTGGATTTGTTGCTCTTCTTGTATTGTAATTGTGGACCATGCTGTTTGTTACAAAAATATTGGGATTCTTCTTAACAAGCAATGCGGATTCCAATATAAAGAGGGACGGAAGTGTGAGAATTTTTAGTTCTTGGAACAAAGGTTTACAGTGTGTCCGTCTAAGGACTCCACATATTCTTCTAATTGCACGCTTTTGAAGGATGAAGATGCGTTTTGCCTCACTGCAACCACCCCAAAATACCAAAATGCTATGAAAACAGCCATAATAAACCTTAAGGAGAATCTCGATGTCAACTAGCTTTTGAAGTCTAAACAGCAGGTAGGTGACAGATGACAGTCTGGGCGCTATTGCATCGACATGTGTTCCCCAATTAAGATTCTCCGTAATGTGTAGGCCCAAGTATTTGGTTTCACTACAGGTTTCAAGTGGCACCCCGTCCAAGGTCAATATCGGAGGTGGTTCAGGCTTCTTCCTGTTATAAAATTCCATTAATTTGGTTTTACTAGAATTTAGGAACAGATGATTTTTGCTACACCAAGTTGACATTTCAAGCAAGCCAGTTTGGGCGTTTTCAATCGTGATGTTTAGATTTGGGCTTGGGACTAGGTGACAGGCGTCATCGGCAAAAAGCCATAAATTTCGAAAGGATATGTAGCCAGACAAGTCATTCACGTATAACGGGAATAGGATGGGCCCAAGGTTTGATCCCTGGGGGACACCGATGTTCAGAGCTGGTGATGGAGACGATTTATATGTCCGGAGGATGTTGTCAGGGCCTCTGTGCTTCAAGGATACAATCATGTGCCGATCTTTAAGATACGATGAAATCCATCGCAGTGGGTTTCCAGAAATGCCAAGCATTCGCAGCTTATCCAGAAGGATCCTATGGTCAAGAAGATCAAAAGCCTTTGTCATGTCGTAAAAGAGACATAGTAAGCTGTCAGATATGTCAAGGTGGTTATATACTTCCTTTAAAAGGGCAAAAATGGCATCACAGGTAGATATGTTTTTTTCTGAACCCAAATTGGTTTTTTGACAAGATGTTATTTGTTTCAATAAAACTTAGCAATCTTTTAAGAAAACTAATCTCAAAGATTTTACCAAAACAAGGCTGAACAGAAATAGGCCGATAGTTACTTGCGTTAAGAGGATCATTTTTCTTTAATACAGGGACAACCTTTGAAGTTTTCAACGAATCAGGAAAGCAACCAGATTCAAACGACTTGTTAATAGCGCAGGCCAATGCTTCAAAGACGTTTTCATTGCAAAGTTTGAGAAGTCTGCATGGGACTTCATCAATGCCAGAACTTTTTTTGATCCTAATAATAAGACGACTTCACGAACCTCAGACGCAGAAGTAGGAGACAGTACAAAGCGACTCGCTTCGAGATCAGTGGGCAACACAGGGGCTACATTATCTTTAGCCAATGTACATATTTCCTGGTGAAAAGATTTACAGAAATAGTCTACTATTGTCTGAGGATTTTTGACTTCCACGTCATCGATCATAAGAATCAGGTTTGATTGGGTCTGATACTTTTCATCGCACAGTGTACGGACCACTGCCCAAGATTCCTTGCTTGTGTTTTTTGAATTTAATATTTTGTTACCAAAAAAGGCCTTTTTTGTTTTGTTAACAAGTGCAGAGTGGTGACGTTTAGCTGCGCGGTAAGCATTTTTTCCATCGACAGAACAGTGAGGCGACCTAGTATTCCAGTACAGGTCCAAGAGTGCTTCATGCGACTGCGATACCTCGTGACTGACCCAAGAAGAGCTATGTTCATTCTTTGTATTTGAAGTAGACACAGGGAAACTTACATTAAAAACATACATGAACCAATCGTAGAAATGGTCAAATAAATCATTAGAGGTAATATTTCTTAAATTAGGTTCTGGCATCCAAGCTTCATTGCTAGATAAAATTTTGAAGGCTTCAAAAGTCGAGGCTGTAAATTTCCTCTTCACTGTTTTATTTACATTTCCCTCTCCAAAACGTTCACACAACAGATGTACTGATAGCAAATGGTGGTCAGAAAAAAAAAACAGGTTTGGCACTGGGGGCACGAAACATATGTGCAACACACGAGTCAACAATAAAATAGTCAAGCTGAGTTATACAGTCAGGTGTTACTCTCGTTGGTCCTTTAAATATAATGTTCAGGTTATTACATTCTAACAAATCCTGAAGCAGCTGACTTTCCCAGGATCTCTCAAGATTGTTTATATTTAAGTCAGCACAAATAAGAAGCGGGATATTAAACTTATCTCTGAGGGTAAAAATCAACAAGTCAAAACGATCGATAAAATCAATCACATCAGCGCTGTTGCCAGTCCCTGGCCGATACAATACTACAACAATAATTTAGAATTTGTCTAGCTGCATTAGTCCCAAACAGAACTCAAATACACCTTCAGAACAAATGTCTTCGTCAATAGATAATGTCATAGGCTTAAATTTAAGCCTAGAGTCAGTTTTAAGCAACAGAGCAACTCCACCCCTTACTCGGTTAGGTCTAGAATATTCAGAAATGGTTTTGAATCCATTTACTTTAAAACAATTCAGCTTAGATTCATTAAGCCACATTTCAGCAACACACAATACTTCAGGGTTCTCATTATGTAACAAAACTTCGAGGTCTTCTATCTTGTTAAAAATAGACCTAATATTTAAGAAATCAAACCTAAAACTAATATCACAGTTTTTTTCGCCCCAAGACAGTGTGGGTTGGGGCTTACGTCCCGTTTTTTGGACCATCAGAAGTCTTTGAAGTAGGCCTAGGCCTATCATGTTGTTCAAGGTTAGGCCTAGTACTGGTCCTGTGACTATTATTAGTTCTAGGAGTCAAAAATTTACATATGAGTATTCCCTCAGGCCAGAGATTGCTATCCAACAGCTTGTCAATAAAGTCAGAAGGTACACCTACCTTAAAAGATGAGTAACCCTGGTACTTAGTGGGAAGTTGTTCACACTGAATTTGACTGAGTCTCCCAGCTCTGTTATAGATTGGTATTTATCACTTTCAAATGACACACAATCGGTATGGAACGATTTACAACAAAATCCGTCACATGTAACTCCGTGATTTCCTTTATTCACGGTTTTTTCACAGACGCCACAGGGATAACGAACTGTACGACCCGACATCTTGACCGACTATCCTACTATTGACTATCCTGCCAACTCTCCTATATATTTTCTGTTCTATAAGCGTGATTGAATTCTTAATTTCTTTTTCTGCTGACTATAAAATCAAGATCAGCTGATAAGTCATTTTATAAACAAACAAAAAAAACTTTTTAAGCTTACCTCCATGTTAGTAGTCCAAAATGTTGTTCAACTTCAATTATTATTCAAAGCTAATATATTTCGTTGCCATGCAACATTTTCGGAGCTTGCAACACGTCAAAACGCATCAAAATTTACATATAGTAGGGCCTACATATTATACGGGAAACGGAATATTTAGGCTAAACATGAAAAAATACAATAGCGCTATCATGACACGAAGTGGCAGCGGTTGTAGGTAGACTGCCGCGCCGTGTCATGATAGTGCTATCGTATTTTTTTCGTGTTTAAGTGTCCCGTGTCGCGTATAATATACTGTATTATATGTAAATTTTGATGTTTTTGACGTGTTGCAAGCTCCAACGATGTTGCATTACAACGAAACGTGTCATCTTTGAATAATTGAAGTTGAACACAATTTTTACCGACGGAGGTAATACTAAATAATGGTGTAAATACCTGCATCTATGTGATCAATGTGTTGCTAAAATGCAACCGGTTTCGACTCACAAAGGAGACAACCGGTTTCTCACAACCACAATTACACTAATATTAATAATAACATGAAAATCCTACACCTCTCAAATGACCGATTTAATACAAACACCTTGGAAGAATTCGAAATTTATAAGGCCGTTAAAATTGACAGCCAAAACATCATCAACGACAAGATTTCATTTCAATCGAATTACATTTACGACACTGCAATCAAGATAATAGCACAAGGGACAGTTGTGAATGAAGTTACCAGCTGATCGGGAAATCCAGGCACGACGTCATCACTGACCACGCTGATCATGACTGGCAGTCTAGACATAACCTCCGCCCGATCACGTCGTGTCCCGTTACCGCCATAGTATTATCTTTCGTTTTTAACCTTAAATGTTTGTTTCTATGTTCGTGTACGTGTGCGTGTTAAATGTATTTATTTATTACGAATTGACGACCTTCAAATGAAGCAAGAAGACATCTGTACTGGCCCGACGATGACTCCTTTGTGAGTCGAAACCGGTTGCATTTTAGCAACACATTGATCACATAGATGCAGGTATTTACACCATTATTTAGTATTTAAATGTGATCAGGAGGCTAAAACTCAATATAATGACGGAGGTAAGCCTAGAAAGTCATTATACGTAGTCCGGGAGCTATCAAAATGAATTTAGGATACTATAAACAAAAAAAACATAAAATGTTTATGGAGTAGAACAAACAATGCTTATTCAAAAAGTAGATAAGATTTCCTATAAAATGTATGTGCTATATCGTGTATTTGTTTATAAGACACATAAAAAATATATAACTTAGTATGTTATCATTTTATACAACCTATAAATAAAGAGGTCATAAATTGTGGTCAGGTTTTATTAACCCTCCAAGTGTCCATAGTAGTGGTAATAATGTTGGCCCCTTTATTGCGCAATCACAGGGTTTTACGAAAAATATATCATTTTGTTTGGAAAATTATGGGCTTCAATGTAATATATAAAATACCCCCGCCGCAGCAAACCTGCAGACTAAGCGAATTTCAACTTGTCTAATTACATTTTTACTAAAATATTTCCATAAATAAGACATATTATTCCCTATTTAAATAACATTAGATTTAACAAGTGCTCAGGTTTGCTGCTACGGGGAAGGTAAAAAGTGTTTTTTGACCATACATCAATAGTTTAGGATGAAATAAATAAATTTGCCAAATTGTATCAATATCTACCCATAAACAAGTAAACTACAACAATTTTCAATTTCTCCATAAGAATAACATGGGAATTTTTAATTACACTATTTTTGAATTTTCTTTGTGACCGTTAGGCATACAACAGCGCTTCAATATACTAAATTATTTCTTTTTTTAAGCTCTACAAAACGTTTAAGAAAGAAATCACAAATTTTTTTGTTTTTAGGTTCAAAAATGGGAAAAACCCATTTTTACCCTATAAAACCCCCCATAATCCCCCGTTCCCATGGTCCGATTATGCTGGATCGCGAACTCGTTTGAATAAACGTAGGTTTACACGTTTGTACCAAATTTCATCAAAATCGGATCATTTTTGCTCGAGTTATCGCGCTAACGGACACATATATATATATATGAATTTGAACGGATGGTGTTTTTGGCCTCTAGGGACCTCAAAATGAAAAATTAGATCGGTCTCGGGTCCAGGTCTTACCATGAGTACTACGGTAATAGCTTATTCCCTATATGGGAAATTCGCTAACATTACAAAAAAAAATTTCAACAATTTTCGTGAGGTTAACATTTCTCAGAAAGGATCAAATAAATGAAAAAATTTATATTTGTGCTCAATAAATTTTTATAACTTATAGGTCTACAAATATTTTAAAATAGTCACTTTGTTCTAAATTTTATGAGGATTCCAAAAATATAGCAATATAAGGAAGTAAATTTGTAAATAAATAAGTTATGGGTGAAAAACATATTTCGTACATTTAGCGTTTTGCTAAGAATGCATAGCCAGCATAGCTAGGAATCTGGCGGATAATTTACATCAATATCAATTCCTACTTCTTCAGGATCATCAACCAGCCCTTCCAAATCACTTAAATCTTCTTATAATGCACCACGTATATCACTACTTTTTATTTTTAACACTAAAACAATGATAAACGTAATAAAACACAATGTCATCGTTGTGAGGTTAACCAAGTTGTTTACAAATACGCACGTCATCTGTCTGCTACAATATGATCGTAACTAAAATGAAAAGTGTTTAGAAACAAGCATCAGGAGAAAGCTTAGAATTTGCCGAAAACAACAATACCAATCTCGATCCAGTTCAATCTGATTCAGTCAGTCCCAGAGCCTTCGCCATAAACGATGTTTGTGAGTCGCAAAAGCGACGCATAACTACACGGCAGGTGTGTTGTGCGTTGTTTTCGCGACGCTTAACACTCAGAGGGTTAAGACGCAAATAACATAATATTCACCGTTTTAGCGAATTTCCCTATAGGGAAGTAGCATTAAATAAATAAATTTGCCAAGTTTGATCAAAACATATCCGTAATCAAGCAAACTACAACATTTTACAATATTCTCCATAAGAATACCATGGGAATTTTAAATTTAAATTTTGTTAACTTTTTCCGTTTCCAATAACAGTACAAAAACACTTTGATATACAATTTTTTTTTAAGCTCTTTAAAAAGGTCTAAAGAGGAATTGGGAATTTTTTGTTTTGAGGGTCAAAAATGAGAAAAATCATTTAGCCTATTATCCCATAAAACCCCCCGTAAAACCCCGTACCAATGGTCCGATCATGCTGGTTTGCGAACTCATTCAAGTTTATCCTGCCTTACACCTTTAAACCAAATTTCATCAAAATCGGACAAAAATTACTCAAGTTATCGTGTTCACGAACGTATATATATATAAATCTATATTCGTAGATCTCTATTCGCGTTTCTTCCGGCCACTCGAAGTTCTTTGTCTTAGGTGGCATTTAATTTAAAATTTAAATAAAACACGAAAGAGCTAAACCAAACAACACTACAAAGAAATAATGATACACATTGTAAATTACATGATAAAATGGTAAGGTAATACCCATGAATGCATTGCGAATGAGCACTTTTATACATTCACTTCATCATACCGAACTGTAAGGCTTTGCTCTGGAAGTAATAAGTCCTGCAGTCTGTGATTAACCTTAAGAACTATTTAACCGTGTCCATATGTTTCTAGTTGTAAACAGAGTGAATTAAGTTTGATTTAATTACGACAGATAGCGCCACTGTTCCCAAATTTTAGCCCTCAACTGTACTTAAGTGATGCCATTTCTTAACATTCTGAGACATATTTACACATCTACGAAAAAATACCTTTAACTTGACACATCAAACGTTAAAATCCGTCCAGCCGTTATCTAGTTATGACTGTGAAAAGAAAACTGCTCGCGTATTAATATATTGATTGTTTACCAATTTCTAACGTTATTGTAAAATGGTATTTGCCGTCAATAAATAAACGCCCAATAAAGTATTATAAATGAAATATAAATGAAATGAAATATAAATGATATTATAAATGAGTATTATAAATTGAAGTATTATAAATGAATTCTAAGCTGTGTTCAATGGGTAAGATACCCAAGTGCAGAAGATTACTGTGGTTACTTCTTTGATTGTTAAATATCTTATATGCATACCGTGTTGTAAGTTTCTTAATTAAAAATTTCAATTTGCAATGTTTCAGAGTACAAACACACTTTATGGGATTGTCACGTATCAGGCAGCTGACTGCCTACCTAACCTTAGCAGTGACACATATGGCCCATACACCAGTCCTCAGAAAGTGCTCATGATGCTTGAGAAAATCGGAATGGAGTAAGTATATAAGGAACGTGATTTTGAACAATAGTCTGCCTTTATATAGATTCATGATTGCAATTTCAAGATAAGTGATATTTTAGACTTAATTATGATTAGAAAGTCTTAACTCTTCAGGACCATTGTTTGGTCCACAACCATCACCTCTGGAGGACCATTGTTCAGTAAATGTGGACACACAAGGATTATTGTCTATTTCTCTTTTGTAATTGCTAAAGTTTATCTTCATCAATAAGTCATCAATCCATTTTACACATTTTACTGAGATTTATTTAGAACTCTATTCTTTGCCAAATAATTATTTGATTTGTACTTTATCTCTGTAGGTTTGTAGGAGGCAAGGGTGAGTCACATGCCAACATTGCCGAGGGGCTGGCTACAGCTCTGTTGTGTTTTGAGGATCTGCAGCCCAAGCGAGATGTGAATGCTTCACCTCAGAAACATTGCATCTTGGTGTGTAACTCACCTCCCTACATGATGCCTGTCAGAGAAACCCCTGTGTTTGATGGACTCAATGTTGAACAACTAGCTGGGGTACTAAACGAGGTAACTATTTATGCATTTAATATTTAGATGTAACTAGCTGTTACCCACGGGCTTCGCCCCGTTTGACATCATAAGTATTAATAAAACTATTGATTGGTTAAGTTAACCTGAAATAAACAAAATACAGTAAAAGAAACAAATAATCACACCAGATTTTAATAAGGTAATAAATTGAAAGCATAACAAACAAATAAGTACAGCTGAGGTATTTTTAACATTAGGTATATGAAAAGTTCCCTTTAGAAAGGAATTACGACCTTAAAGGGCAATTTATGACATAATGCATAATTTTGCGCAAGGTTTCTCGTCATGACGAACATTTTAAGTATATGGTTTATGGGGGTGTGACTTGTAGTTTTCTCAAAAGTTCACGGGTACTTTTGGCTTTATATATAGACGAGGTGTTAGCCCGTCCTACGTACGGGAATTCAGTAGTCAGTTAAAACCGTGTACAATTCAGATCAGCTAGTTTACACATATAGAGACAAAGTTTCATGCAGTGTGAAAAATCCTTTTGTAAACAAATGTTGTGTGACCAAATATGTTTTTATTCCATCATAGGCCTATACAATATGCATTTTAAATCCGATAATTTTACAATAAAACAGCAATTCTGCAATTTTTATAATGTGAAAAGCGTTGAAGTGAGATTTGCAGTCGATTCGCACAGACGCACACTGATTATAAGTAGCCTACAGTAGAGAGAGTAATAGTCAATTGAGAAGTGTATAGACCTAGTCAACAATACCACCTTCCATAGCATACCTGCCTCTTCCATAATTATTATCACCACAATACAACTACTATACACAATTTCCAGTAGGTCTGAATAGAAACGACCTAAAATAAAACGATAATATCCAATAAAATTCACAGTACACATAATTTAACTTTGGTGTCCTAACATCAAAACTAATCGTCACACGTATCCTTTATATCAATTTCACTGCATTAATTGCTAAATAAATAAGTGTAAACAAAGAAAAGTAAAATCAATAACAGTTTGTTTTGAAACAGCTGTTTGGTTCAAATAACATTCATTTGAAAAAAAAGAACTGGTCACATGTAGCAGGAATATAAAAAGTAAACACGCTAGTAAGGCTAATGACGTAATTAATTGTCAATGTTTATTATCCATACCGTTATCAGTTCTATCCTTGATAATTACCCACCCTCATTGAATAAATGTACACAGTATATTCCCATATTAGTTAATTTAAACTACAATATATTCATAGTTGAAATAAAAGTTATATTTTCACGTTTGTGGGCGCTGATATAGGCACCCCCAAACGTAACCACAACTGAACATGATTTCATAAAAAAGATGGTTTGTCTAATTGCAGTATCCTAGGTCAATGTTGACGTTGTGTTCAATCTATGTCATCCATCTGATTATCTTTGTATAAAACCCGGCTGAGGTTGTGGTGGTAATTTAAAATCGTGATTCCTGATTATTCTTGATCTTCTTTTTATGACATCAATATTTCCGGGCCTAATCCAAACAAAGTTAAAGCAGACAAACATTAATTGTAAACAAAAAGCTACCATGAAGAATTAAAACATGTAAACATTGTTATTTTTCTAATCTTTCCTTGAAAAGTGGAGCAGTAAAATAATTTGCATTTATCCTTTTTTTATTAAGACTCGTGTACAGAGCCTCGATTTGTACTGTGGTTTAATTAATTTTGGTCTAAACTATTCTACAAACTAACTGAACTATCTAAACTAACTGTGGTCTAGTTATCTCTACTAATCTTACTTATTTCCTATAATCAATGACAAAATAAGAGTAAATAAAATAACCTCATAGTTCCATATTTTATATTTAACCAGCTCTTGGTTAAAACAAATTATATTGCTATAAAACAAATCAAAGATTACAAAGATTTCTTTAAAAAATAACTTGAACATCCTAGTATTTTACTATGTATATTTAATTAATCTGTCATCCTCTTACAGAAGAATTGAACGTATCAATGATTAGCATTACACATAGTATAAATAAGTGAACCCTAAGTATGTCTTTACATTTTTATCCAAATGCTGAATTTGTGACACAAAAGCTGAATGTTTACAGCTGTTATGTTAAGCAAATTATTTTATGCCAAAAGCTAGTTTAGAATCTTAGCGTCGGCTGCTAGACTTTTTAAAAATTTAAACTTAATTTCTAAAAAACTGGGACCCTAAACTGAAATTATGGCTTCGACATTCCCTAGTTCTCAAAATTATCTTTCTTTCAACACAAAAATCATGAAAATCCGTCCAGTGGTTGATTCAGAATCGTGAAATAAAAAAACTCTGTTTCGTTTTAATATTATAGATGTTACAAAATTGGGTAAAATTGGTAATATGTCAATTCAATAGTTTTGCTTAGCAGATTATTTAAGAGATTCTCTGTTCATAGAGTAAACACTTCCCACTAGTTACCTGTTCACTGAAGGCACTGATCAACCATCACCACTAGGTCAGAGTAGGCCTACTCAGTGAAAAGTTAATGATTTTGATCAAAGGCAAGTTTAGTCTCAAAATTTTTCCAATTTTCAAATTTGATATACAGTTTAGCTGCCGAATGTAAAATAGTTTTGAATTTGGACTGGACAAAAGATACTAAGGCTTTCTAAAACGAGTAATACTCTATCATAACAAACAGTAAACATTTGGATAAATTGACATGGATAATGGTAAATTTAATGAAGAAAACATGTGGAAATACTCTGTGAGTAGGTTCTGTGAGGAATGGTCTCAATGAAGTACACACTGGCGCTAATATAAAAAAAGTGTATAGCTCTCAGTATAGCAATTTCCATTAAAGAAAACATCACATAAAGATCAGAAAGCTGAAGTTCCCATTATTGTTTCATTAAGAAATATCACATTTCAATTTTAATGAAAATTTATAATGGTTTAAATACCTGCATTCAGTAATCCAATATGCTGCTTGTGGCAACTATAGATTCGGTTCACAAGGAACCATCTTCAGGCCGTACAAGGCGTCGTTATTCACTTCCATATATGAAGGTCGTCATTTAATAAATAAGTACATAGAACACGAACACAAGAAAACGCACATTGATACAAACATTTAACATTAAAAAGACCGAGTACTCGGGAACACGAGACAGGTGACGCGACCGGGTGGAAGTTTAGCTCGAACTGGTGGTCAGTGGTCAACTGGTATGACGTCAGCCATTGTCTCCTTATCACTGCCGGCTCGCATTCATTCCTTCTCTCCTCCTCCCCCATCCAGTATTTTGATTGCGGTGTTATAAATGGAATTCAATTGGAATGAGAGTTTGTCATTTAAAAAATTTTGACCGTCTGTTTTGACTGCCTTGTATCTTGAAATATACAAGGCAGTCAAAACAGACGGTCAAAATTTTTTAAATGACAAACTCTCATTCCAATTGAATTCCATTTATAACACCGCAATCAAAATACTGGATGGGGGAGGAGGAGAGAAGGAATGAATGCGAGCCGGCAGTGATAAGGAGACAATGGCTGACGTCATACCAGTTGACCACTGACCACCAGTTCGAGCTAAACTTCCACCCAGTCACGTCACCTGTCTCGTGTTCCCGAGTACTCGGTCTTTTTAATGTTAAATGTTTGTATCAATGTGCGTTTTCTTGTGTTCGTGTTCTATGTACTTATTTATTAAATGACGACCTTCATATATGGAAGTGAATAACGACGCCTTGTACGGCCTGAAGATGGTTCCTTGTGAACCGAATCTATAGTTGTCACAAGCAGCATATTGGATTACTGAATGCAGGTATTTAAACCATTATAAATATTCAAACGTAATCCGGAGGCTAACAACTCTTAAAAATTAATGAAAATATTAGCTATAGCTGAGCAGTTTACCTATCTCGCATTTTAACAAGATTTACATGAATATTTGCCAGATTGAACTAACAAATGCATTTGCAAAAGAACTTCCCGATATTGTATCTTCTATGATTTATATTTACTTACTACTTACTTACTCCCATGTCCATTTGTATCCCAAGTGTACTGGGCCTCACCAACACTTTTAATACTTTTCAATGAAATGGCGACCATACAAAGTAGGTATTTTAAGCCAAGTATGAATGGAGATGAGTGTAGGATGAGTGGCGCGATCTTGTAGTCTTGTTAGTGACTAAGGCCGACATTCCTTAGACACAGCTGTAATTAATAGCCCATACAGCTAATGGCAAGTAAGGGACCTACAGTTTATAGTGGAATCTGAACCACATTTTTGCCTTGGTATATACGAATTGGTCTAATTATCAGGATAGTACTGCGGATAGTTGTAGTACTCACTCGTGCGGACGTTAATCCACACCAGGGAGTATCGCATCCACAGTGCATGCCTATAAATATCCACAATTCGTGACCTCCTAGTAGCTGGATTACAGGACGACGCCACCTGTCCCAGTCACACTCCACGTCGTCCCGTCTCTTGCTGTATCTTCATTGACTACCATACTCGCCATATCTTTCTTTACTTCATCCGTCCAGCGTTTATTCTGTCTCCCTCATGGTCTTCTTTCCAGTGGATCACTTTTCCATATTTGATATAATGTGCTTGTTTCCTCTCTTCTAATGATGTGGCCCGTCCAGCGAAGCCTGCTGCTTTTAGCCTCTGCAATTATATCAGGCTCGTTAAACAACAGGTCTGGGTTCCTGATTACGTTCAATTCTCCATACGTCTCCTTCTTTAGTAAGGCCAAAGATATTGCGCAGGTCTTTGTTTTCAAAAGTAATTAGTTTTTATCTGTGTTTTTATCCATAACCCAGGTTTCAGCTCCATAAATTAAAACAGGTCTTATGATAGTTTTGTAGATTTTAAGTTTAGTGTGAGACAATAATCTTGATGATAATAATTTGTTTAGAGCATACATACTTCATACTGGCTAGTTTTATTCTGTTATTTTTTTTCTATGTGTTCCTCACTTTGTGAGCTGACAATAACAGATTATATTTTCAGCGGAACATTCACCTCTCCATTTTGTCTCCCCGTAAGATCCCTGCTCTGTTCAAGTTGTATGAGAAGGCAGGAGGAGATCTGCCGAGTCAAACTAAGAACTACGCCAAAGATCCTCGTCACCTTGTGTTACTCAAAGGTTACAGGTAAGTCCAACCTTGGCCACGTTAATTAATGATAGTCAACTGGTTGGATACACAATGGAAAAAATCTTGATAGAACATTAGCCTACATAAATAACATGAAAGAAAACTTAAAAGTAAAGGTAAAGTTATAATACACTATATCCTTGTATATTCTTGTTTGGTTAAGTACATTTTTGTAATCTTTAAAATGACAGTCCTAAAAACGAGCAATCAAACAATTTACTACTTCACCCTATACAAAATAAATAGCACCATTTTTGTTGTAGTTTGAAGGAGAGGCCCACTAGTCCAGGGCCAGTTCCACCTGCATGCTCATGCCACTCTGCCACCACAGTTCATGTCTTCCCCCCTCCCCAAACAGTCCTCAGCAGTCCCAGCCCTTCTACAGACATTGTCATGTTATTTTTGTTGTAGTTTGAAGGAGAGACCCATCAGTCCAGGGCCAGTTCCACCTGCATGCTCATGCCACTCTGCCACCACAGTTCATGTCTTCCCCCCTCCCCAAACAGTCCTCAGCAGCCCCAGCCCTTCTACAGACATTGTCATGTTATTTTTGTTGTAGTTTGAAGGAGAGACCCATCAGTCCAGGGCCAGTTCCACCTGCTCCTCATGCCAGTCTGCCAATTCAGTCCATGTCTTCCCCCTCCCCAATATAAACAGTCCTCAGCAGCCCCAGCCCTTCTACAGACATTGTCATGTTATTTTTGTTGTAGTTTGAAGGAGAGACCCATCAGTCCAGGGCCAGTTCCACCTGCTCCTCATGCCAGTCTGCCAATTCAGTCCATGTCTTCCCCCTCCCCAATATAAACAGTCCTCAGCAGTCCCAGCCCTTCTACAGACATTGTCATGTTATTTTTGTTGTAGTTTGAAGGAGAGACCCATCAGTCCAGGGCCAGTTCTACCTGCCTGCTCATGCCACTCTGCCACTACAGCCCATGTCTTCCGCCCTCCCCAACATAAACAGTCCTCAGCAGTCCCAGCCCTTCTACAGACATTGTCATGTTATTTTTGTTGTAGTTTGAAGGAGAGACCCATCAGTCCAGGGCCAGTTCCACCTGCTCCTCATGCCAGTCTGCCAATTCAGTCCATGTCTTCCCCCTCCCCAATATAAACAGTCCTCAGCAGTCCCAGCCCTTCTACAGACATTGTCATGTTATTTTTGTTGTAGTTTGAAGGAGAGACCCATCAGTCCAGGGCCAGTTCTACCTGCCTGCTCATGCCACTCTGCCACTACAGCCCATGTCTTCCGCCCTACCCAACATAAACAGTCCTCAGCAGTCCCAGCCCTTCTACAGACATTGTCATGTTATTTTTGTTGTAGTTTGAAGGAGAGACCCATCAGTCCAGGGCCAGTTCTACCTGCCTGCTCATGCCACTCTGCCACTACAGCCCATGTCTTCCGCCCTCCCCAACATAAACAGTCCTCAGCAGTCCCAGCCCTTCTACAGACATTGTCATGTTATTTTTGTTGTAGTTTGAAGGAGAGACCCATCAGTCCAGGGCCAGTTCTACCTGCCTGCTCATGCCACTCTGCCACTACAGCCCATGTCTTCCGCCCTCCCCAACATAAACAGTCCTCAGCAGTCCCAGCCCTTCTACAGACATTGTCATGTTATTTTTGTTGTAGTTTGAAGGAGAGACCCATCAGTCCAGGGCCAGTTCCACCTGCATGCTCATGCCACTCTGCCACTACAGCCCATGTCTTCCGCCCTCCCCAACATAAACAGTCCTCAGCAGTCCCAGCCCTTCTACAGACATTGTCATGTTATTTTTGTTGTAGTTTGAAGGAGAGACCCATCAGTCCAGGGCCAGTTCCACCTGCTCCTCATGCCAGTCTGCCAATTCAGTCCATGTCTTCCCCCCTCCCCAATATAAACAGTCCTCAGCAGCCCCAGCCCATCTTCAAACCTGCCCAGACCACTCCTCCGGTAAGTAAATCGGTCATTTATATGCTTCCCTTTTTTTGGAAAGAAAGATTTTTTGGATCTAGATAACTAACCTTTTAACCTTTTTTTCATCACGTGATCCTGTAGTCGACTATGAGGCGACCGGCTTCAACCTGGTCATTGTCAAACTAGACGTTAAATCTATGAATCGAAGGAGGTCGTCACAAGTCTTGAAAAACATGTAGCACATACACATAAACACAAACAAAAAACTATAAAATGCGTGGCCATACAACTGTCATTACTACACGGCGGCGGGTACAAAATGTATGTCTAAACTAAACTGACGCCATGTCTTCCTCTCCCCATCTTTCCCCTAGAGTTGTCAACTGTTGATAAAATCTCTTCAATGTTCAAGACTGTCCAATACATTATATTAGCTTCAATCTTATTCAGACCCTTAGGGGAAGCGCCCAGTGACATTCCTCCATCCAGGATGGTGGGGTGTTTAGCTCTCGGAGAGGTGGTAGTGTGTCATCAATCTCCCATCTACCTGTGGCTATGGTTCTATGGGTTTCGGCCCACTTGTTGTGTGCAACCAACGTTTTGTGTGGCAAATCCTCGACTTTGGAAGTAGCCTTTTCCTGGGAGGTGAAATCGGGCGAGTACCCGTAAGCTCACGGGGACACTCTAGGGGAACGGAACTTTCCACAGTGTGAGGGTAACGGCTGGTGGTCACACTCCATTACCTATCTCTGTCTCTGAGCCCAGAGGGTATGGTTATCTAGAGTTTGGGGGGTTCTCCCTGGAACCTCAATTGAGTTAAGGGTGTCGCCACCTTTGGTGGATAGGTTCATCCGGGTGGGTCCCACTTCTATACCTGCCTCCTTTTGGGAAACCCTGATGGCCTGGCAGTGATGTTGGGCTAGATGGGCAAACGAAGTAGATCGGGTGCTGGGATCAAGCCCGCTGGGGGTATCTGAGGATCTATCGCCCTGGTTATCCCTGGTTTCCCAGTGAATGGGTAGGCCTCGATCGGGTAGTGGTGCAAATAGGTGGTTGGGGTCCCCTTCTTCCTGGCTTTGATGGCAGGTTTCGGCCTGTCAGGGATTGGGTAGGTCCCGAGTCTTGCTTGCACTGTGTTGCGTTCAGGGCACTCCATTATGGTCCTTCGGGGGTTTCGGCCTTGGTGGAACCCATTGGAGTCTCCGTGCGACCAAGTAACCGGTATCCCTGGTTAGGATTGAGGGGTAACCCTCTTTCCGAAGGGTTGCTTTGGCAGCCGGTGAGCTTGAAGGCCTTAAGTCATGATGTGTTAAGGTTGGTGCGTAAGCTCTGGCCGACACTATGGGGCCCGGGTTATGTTTAGTTATAGGTACCGGGTTGCAGTCGGGGTGTTTTTTGCTCCTTCAACAAACATGAATGAATGAATGTCTATAGAATAGGTGTGAGAAAGGATAGGATAAGCAGGCTTACCTTAAGAAATGTAGGCATCCCACTTCATTCACTACAGAACACAGAAGAAAACACAAACAAAATAAACACTGGATATTTCAAGGCCACTGGCCCCTTTCTCAACATGGAGAGTCATATTAGATATTTAGTGTTTTTCACTGGTAAGGAAGCAGTGTTGCCAACACACTATGAATTTACAAATGAACATTTACAGGTTAATGAGTCATTGATTCTATTTACACTTAGTCTAAGCCTGCTTTTAGGTGTGGAAGGGGAAAAGGAAAATGTTAGGCCTATCTGAGATTGAGGTTTGGGGGCTCCCTGGATTTTGTGAACCATTGATAAGAGAGTTCCCATCTCCTTAGTTGTGATGGGTTACAGGTGGGAGGGAAAGATCTTATTATTTTTGAATTGAAACAACTGTTTAAATCTTGCATATTGTGGCTGGCAGCATGAATAGGCACTGGTTTTTCTGGATGGTTGTTTTTTATGTCTGTCCTATGATTATTCATTCTTGTTCTAAAACTGGTGGTGATAAGTCCAATGTATTGAGATGGGCAATGGTTGCATTGAAGTTGATATTCAACATTTTTTGTGGAGCATATATTGTGTCTTTTAATTTTGAAGGTTTCTCCCTATTGATGTGCTTGTAAATGTTGTGCTGGGCCTATTAAAGTGGCAGGTTTTGCATCTTGCCATGTCACATGGGAATGAGCCTTCTATGGGTTTATCTTAGTCTTTGTTAGGTTTTGATTGTTCAGGGTGAACTAACAACTTTTTTAAATTGGCTGGTTGTCGGAATGTAGTTGTGGGAGGTTTTTCCAAGAAGTATTTGGTGTGTGGGGACGCTCTGAGGATTTTGAAACAGTCTTTTAAAATTGTGTTTAAGGATTGGAGGCCGTGGCGATAGGTCGTGATAAGCTGCAGGTTTTGTTGGGAGTTTCTTTTTTGAGTAGGCCTAAAGTTGGTGGTTTCTGATTGAGCAAGACGGGTCTGGTTTTCAACCAGATTGGCCGGATAACCTCTTTTAGTAAGGGAGTTTTTCATTTTGCTATTGAACTTTTCCAGTTCTATGTCAGAGGAGCAAATTCTTTTGGCTCACATGGCTTGGCTGTAAGGAATTGACCGTTTAGTGTTAGTAGGATGGCAGCTATTGAAGTGAAGGTATTGCAGGTGGTTGGTCGGCTTAATATGAATTCCAGTTTCGATTACACCATTCTGTAATTTTAAATTTACATCCACGAAAGTTATTTCTGCGGTGGACGTAGTGTGGGTGAATTGGAGGGGACTGAAATTGGAGAGGTCATTCAGAAATTTAGTCAGAGCCTCCTCTGAATTTGTCCAGATCATGAAGATATCGTCAATGAAACGAAACCAGCAGGTGGGTTGGGTTTTTTGTGTTTTCAGGAATGATTGTTCAAGGCGGCCCATGAATAAATTGGCATATGATGGGGCCATTCTAGTGCCCATTGCAGTACCCTTTATTTGTAGGAAATTTGTGCCTTCAAATTGAAAGTTATTTTTTTCTAGAAAAAAATTTTGCTAAATTAACTAAAAAAGCTGTACTCGGAGACGTTTTGTTAGGCCTTTGGTCCAGGAAATGTTCTATAGCAGCTAGGACATGTACATGAGGGATGTTTGTGTATAGGGAGGTGACGTCTATTGTTACCAATATGGTATTTGGTGGTAGAGGGGTGGTTCTGGACCGCCTATCTTCAATAACCACCCCTCTACTATAATAATATAACCCATCACAACTAAGGAGATGGGAACTCTCTTATCAATGGTTCACAAAATCCAGGGAGCCCCCAAACCTCAATCTCAGATAGGCCTAACATTTTCCTTTTCCCCTTCCACACCTAAAAAGCAGGCTTAGACTAAGTGTAAATAAAATCAATGACTCATTAACCTGTAAATATTCATTTGTAAGTTCATAGTGTGTTGGCAACACTGCTTCCTTACCAGTGAAAAACACTAAATATCTAATGTGACTCTCCATGTTGAGAAAGGGGCCAGTGGCCTTGAAATATCCAGTGTTTATTTTGTTTGTGTTTTCTTCTGTGTTCTGTGTATTGAAGTGGGATGCCTACATTTCCTAAGGTAAGCCTGCTTATCCTATCCTTTCTCACACCTATTCTCAGGCAATTAGCCCTTTCTCTCCAAACCTAACCTGAATGAATGTCTAGATATCCTCAATGCAGTAAAATAAAACATTATAATTGTAATTTCTCATTTAGTAAATTGTTTAAATGGGATTTTAATTCTTTGTAAATACTTACTTGTTGTCATAAATTGTGAATTTTTACAATTGTGAAGTAGTACCAGATTTTCCTCTAGAACTTGGGTAGTGTGATTATTATTTATTTGGCGATTATTTCCAATAGTCTTTTATTTCTCCTAGTTATTACATGTCAAAATCAAATCTAGCAACTAACATAATTCATTGTTGTAGAGTTGAATGTTAATAAATAAGATATACCTAATTTGTTCAGATTAATTGGTTGGTTATTTATTGAAAGATTTATAGGTTGGTTGAGTAAGTAAAATGTTATCTGTCTGAAAGATAAAGGGTTTTGTATCTCAGTTAAGATGGTTGTTGCTCTTTTCTGGTTGTTGGATTGATTTTGATGGACGAGAAATGTAATTCAGACCATCCTTGTGAGTTATGTCAGGTATACAGTGTACATGTAGACCATTCATTCAGCTAAACAAAAAATATACAGATAAAAAAATTATTAACTGTAATATAATAATACAATTACCTTGACACAGCTCTGAAGTTTCCGTATATTACAGCCGTTTCGGCATGCCTATATTAATGCCAAAACGGCTGTATATATGGGTACTTCACAGCTGTGACAAGGTAATTGTATTATTACATTATAGTCATCAATTCATCTCAGGTGCTAAATCATGTCTATTGAAACAAATTATCTTGTAATGTTTAACCTTAGATAATTTTATAATATTCTTTATTGATCTCAAGGTAGGCCTAATTCAACTTTTAAAGTGAAAGTGAATATAATTTTTTATTTTATATATTTTTATTTCTTTATTTTTTATTGAAATTTGATTGAATGTGAAATTTAACTCAAGTTTAAATTAGTATTGGTCATGAATAAGAGTGTATTAGACACAAAATATTTTGAGATGGGAGTGATATGAGTTAAATTGCTAGAGTTAACGTCATAGAAGTAGCTGTTCTAAATAATTGCCACTCAACTCCAAATATTGTTTTACTGTTAATGATTTACCCTGCCCAAAATATTTTGTGTGTACTTGTAGCATACAAACTTTGTGTACAAAACATTTAGGATACTGATAGGATTAAATCTGTGTTCAATTGACAAACTAGTCCTTACAAAACTAAATATTGAATTCACTCAGCTAGCAATGCTTATTGGAGTGCTACGACTCATATTAGTAGTATTATATTAGTTCATTACTGTAGATATGTCCATTATAAATAAGTATCGTCATAGTAATTTGTAGGGATGGACGAGATTGGATTTTTAGTTCGAGACGAGACGAGACGAGATTTTTTATTTCTCATAAAATTTCGAGACGAGATCGAGACGGGATTTCCCTTCTCATACACAACGGGAAATACACGTTCAAAATTTTTTCCTGATTTTGTAACATTGTTAGATGACTGTTTAAATACAAAAATAATGATAATAGGCAAGAATATTTACAATATTTTATTAAAAAACATCAGCATAACATTTTTTTATTAATCACGCCTAACTTATTAAAAATGCCTACGATTAGAAAACATAGTGATATCAGTTAGGATAGAGTTCAACTTATCCTAAAATAAAATAAATAATAAAATAAAAGCAATATTAATTTTTATAAAATAGTTACTTGTTTTGACTTTTTATAGTAATAAAACATTCCTCACATTGCTTACACTTAACAAAACTTCTCAAATGTTATTAAAGTAATATTATTTAAATAATTAAAGTAATATTTACATTTAAAGAATTAATTAAATAAGAACGCCTTCGCAAAGGAAACGCAACTACAACACGCTCCTGTATTGCGGGTATTGCATTGCTTTTCTGCAGGCGTTTTTTAATTTAATTTTTTTTTTTTTTTATTCTCGTCTCGATAAAAATCTCGGCCAAAAAGAAATCTCGTCTCGTGTAACGAGATTTAAAATTTCCCGAAAATTTCCCGAAATTTCGAGACTTGACCATCCCTAGTAATTTGTTATATAAAGATTTTCTAAGAGCAATTTTGCTAAACTGAGGTTGATTTTCTAATGATATTATAAAAAATTGTTTAAAATGAGGTAGGAATTTGAAAAAAAATTGTTACAATAACATGAAGTTAGATATATGAAATCCATTAACAGCTGATACTTAGTATCTGGTTTGGTGTTTAGGTGATGTTGGGTAGCCAGCAGAGTCCAGCAGCTCAGTCGCAGCCCTCGCCCGCTGCCCAGGCCGCCCCAGCCGCTCAGACAGTAGCCCCCGCCCGTGGTGCTGCCCCCTTCCCCCCCGGCTACATGCTGCCCCAGGCCAGGGCACGGTGGCCTATGATGCCTCCTCAGAACAGAGCCCCGTACACCAACACTGCACAGCAAGGCAGTGCTCTCATAGCACAACTCACACAACCCCCCACCATGGCTGTCAACCCTCAGTTCTCCAGTCAGTACCACTCTGTAGCAAAACTAGTAGCTTCAAGTTAAACACCCACTACAAAATATTCCACAGTAAAACTTCTTTTAATCACACCCCATTAAAGCAAACCCCATGTTAAATAAAATAGAAAATTCAAAACAGTTGTAAAAGGGAGCCTAGCTATAACTCATACTTGTATGGATATCTCATACTGTGATAAAGATAAAGTTCAGAAAACAATTGCCAGTTATGTTAGGAAATATATCCTTTAGTATCCAGGTTTTTTTTTTGTATGTGTGGTACAGTAGAACCCCTGATACCTAGCCTCAGTTTTACCGGTCCTTGGTTTATCTGTCCAATTCTCGGAAGCTCATGGCTACCCATTGCACTAGGATGTGCTAGTCAAGCGCCCTCACGGTTTATCTGTTTGTACATTTTACCGAGTTCTCTACTCAGTTGGGCTAGTAGGCCTAACCTCTAAACTGTTTGTTATTATTTCCAGTAATTGTTTCATTTCATAAAAATATTATTGGAAAATTATGGACTATAAGGCCAAATAACCTTCAAGGAAAATTTATTGTGAGTTATGTTTTAACTCCATCTTTATTTAACATCAGTTGATGCAATCCTAACTCATAGTAGGCTTATTGCCATGTTAATTACCTTTCCCACTTTTTGATACTAATATTTCTTATGGTTTTACTATTCAACATAAATCCCAAGAGAGACTTGAACACTACTTTTGACTACAATTATTGATTACACATTATTATGATATATCAATTATAATTTTCATAATAGGTTGGTTTATCCGGGCAGATTGGTACCCGGCCAGTCTCAGTCCTGTGATGGCCTAATATGAGGGGTTCTACTATAGTCAAAAACTAAAAGGGTTTGAAAAGTGTAAATATTTACTTTGCAAACAAAGAACAATCAATGAATCAATACTATTAATCCACAAAATGTTAAGATTTTATATGTTGTAAGAGCCCCGATCCCCAATTTTCACTGTGATTTGTTGAACTGTTTTTCAATGCATGATGGACAACATACATAAATTAGATTTTCTATTTACAGGAGATGATCTTATCAAGTCCACTTAGGCCTAATCAATAGAAACACCCATTGATTCAGCCATCTTAACTTCCAAAATTAAACTTTTGTTTTGTTTACTTGCAACCTTGAATGTAAAATAAAATTTGGGGATGTTACCTGAAAACCTATACAACATAATAGTTCCTACAATTTCACACTTTTACTTTACTCTCTTTTAACTCCTGATTATTAGAGGTTTCCAGATCTATTAGTTAAAAAAAAGTACAATTTAGTTTATATTTCCTTGTTAGAACTGATTGGTCTGGTTTAGTAAAGTAAAAAACAGCCAAAAATTATAAAATTCCTGAATGGACCAGGATAAACCTTTTTTTGAATATTGATTTGTTCAATGTATTCTAAACCTAAACAAAATAGTAGAAGAGTGAGTAACAATTGATTCAAAGACATGAGGCTGAAAGTTCTTGATTTTCTTATTTTTATAGTAACAAAACAGGGGTGTTTAACCCTCTCTGTGGTATTCAGTTGAAAAACATTAGTAGTTAGAGTTGCATGGTTAACAATATCTTGCATTTGACAATAGTCTAATTTGTAATAGATGAGGTAGGAATTTAACATAACATTAAAATTGTTTTTCAATACATTTTATGTATCCATAGTTAAAAACACATCTATACATATTTTAATATATTACACTGTTTCTGACGTGTTTAGATTCTTTTAAATTTCAACTTTAACATAACAAACATAATGTTTAAATAATCAATTATCAAATACAATTTTGTTTCCATTGATTTTTGGCTTTTTGGATAGTTTTTGTTCATTTTCGTCGCCATGTTTATTTTGGGCTCTCTTCACAATCACACAATCCATAAAAAGCTTATGTACTAGTAATCTTCATGTACACATACTGTACATTTACATGACTACAGATGTTTTATCAACCAATCAGATAATGTTAAAAACAATCCCACTTTTTTATTTTTGCAACAATATATTTAACAGACAACTCAAAACCTCCTCCTCACACAACATTCCGCTAAGTTTGACTCAGGTAAAGGTAAAGGGAACACATTACTTGGATTATAACAGTCTTACACTTCAGTTGAAACCAGCGAGTATTAACTGTAAGCTAATGATTATCTAACCTACTGCTGTAAGTTCTGGCCAGAGTAGTTAAATGTACAAGTATAATTTCTGACTTTAATATTCTTAATCTACACAAAACAAAAACATGTAATCATATTAGTCAACTTGCTTCTGTAAACTGTTTGTTTTCTTGTATAATAGAGTCTTGATTATCCAACTCTCCTTGCAGACAATTGAGTACCAAGAAACTATGTGTGATTTCTATATGGCATGACTGTACACATTGATGGGTGTCTCCTGTACTCTGTTAGTGCTTCTTCAGACACCGGCATTCAAAAGTTCCTGAGATTATTTAATATTTTAGATTGCTACTCAGATAACTTGTCTCACTTGCATCTCTTATGTGAACCCTAGACTTATGTTGGGAGGATGAGTATATAGGATTTCAACCACCAAGAGACACTTTTTAACAACTGTTATGTTTGAAGTAAATACATAAATTATTAGGTAAATATTTATTTCCTATGGTTCTATTTTATTCTATTCCTCAGTTCTATTTTATTTATTTTTAGTTTAATAAAATAGAACTGAACTTATTCATGAGTAAAAAACTAGAAACAAAAACAATAATAAAAACAAGTTAAAAGTCAGCCGCAATTTAAACAATGTTCAAACATAGCAACGACAAAAGCAGCTCATATCATGGTATCCCTATTTTCTTTACTTCATTGCCGATCAGCTTACTTACTTACTTTCCGTGTCCGGATAAAAACACCAGCTCAATTAGATATTATTTTTCCAATAATCTGCCACATATATGGCTTCGTCATTTGCCTCCTTAAGATCGAGCCAGGTGCATGTTCTGCCCATATCTGGACAAACTAGTAGGTGTTCATGGTCCTGAGGGGCCCCACATGTGCAGTTTGGTTCTCCTTCATAGTACCCCCACCTCATGAGGTTTACTTTGCACCTCGAGACCCCACTTCGCAATCTATTTAGGGTCCTCCATGTGGGGTAAGGCAGGTGACAGCCTGCAGGGAGTTCCTCTCTGAGTTCTACTGGTGGCTGTTGAGCCTCCTGCCTCCATAGCTGAAGCCTTAATACTTCCGGTGTTACTGAATGTATCTCAGTGGTTTTGAGGAAACTCTTTCTTGACCTGAGTCTAGAGGGCTGCTGTTGATGCCCATATAGTGGATGACGGTGGTCGGTCACTTGCTTCTGTAGTTCTACTGCGGCTGCCACGTTTCTCCTTATATATGGTGGAGCTACCCCAATGAGAGGGTATATACTGTCCACTGGGGTTGGTTTTAAGCATCCTGACACGATCCTTGCAGTTTTGTTGATGGCTATGTTTACCTGCTTTGCATGGGCAGAGTTTCTCCACACTGGTGCTGCGTACTCTGCTGCTGAGAAGCTAAGAGCAAGAGCAGAAGTGCGCAGCACCTGTGGTTGTGCTCCCCAGGATGTGTTGGTAAGTTTCCGAATGATATTACTTTTTGCCTAGTAGCAAGGCAGTGTTGTTTAAAAGTCAATGCTCTGTCCAGCTTCACACCTAGATATTGAGGATAGTCATTATGTTCGAGTTCTTGCCCTCTCCACAGTACCCTTAACTTTCTTTTTGCCTCTCTGTTCCGTAGGTGGAAAGCGCATACCTGGGTTTTGGTTGGGTTAGGCTTAAGATGGTTCTCATCATAGTAGCTTCCAAGTTTTTCCAGAGTTTTTGTCAACGTATTCTCCACCTCCTCAAATGTATGCTCTTGAGCTGCTACCGCTGTATCGTCAGCATAGATGAACTGCTTAGTATTACGCTGTATAGGCTGATCATTAGTGTAAATATTATACAGCAAAGGGGCCAGTACGCTACCTTGGGGAAGGCCATTCTTTTGGTTTCTCCAGCGGCTGTTTCCCATTAAGGAGCAGCTGATGTGCAATCTGATCCGGCGTAACATTTGTCAGCGGGTTCTTCGGTGCAGTTGGGTCGTTACTGAGATTTTTTAGCAGTTTCCAGGCACGCCTGCTGTTTTGCTTCATGTCTAGTGCCCCTATCAAATTGCTCCATCTTTCCTTTCTTGACTCGGTCAGGGTTGCAAGCAGTTCCTCGCCCGCCTCAAATGTATCGTCAGAAAAAGGGTCTTCATTATAAAGCTCTTTATACCGCTCTAAGATGGGACGAGAGTCCCCTGTCAGGCCAGAAATATATTCCCTACGGCACCCTCTCGGGATGTGTTTCCTGGATATTCTCTTGACAAGCGCTACAAAATCTTCATATGCCTTCCAACCCTTTGGCAGATTAGCAACGCCCATGTCTAGCTCTTCAGTAAATAGGTCCCATCTAGCTTTTTTGAAATTAAAACGTCTTTTGAAAGGAACAGATTGGGGGCTCACCACAGCGGTGGCAAGAAAGGTAATCGCTCTGTGCTGTGTCCGAGGGAAAGGGTCTTCAACTAGCTTTACTGTTTGCTGTGCAACAAGGTCACTCACAAAGATGTTGTCTGGATTGTACCCCTTCCTCCACCTTCCACTGTTAAAAGATGCTGGCAACTTTGGATCATGTATGATCTTTAGATCGTTTCTTTCAGCCCAGGACTCAAGTTCTTCTCCATTCTCATCAGTTTGGCTGTAGCCCCATGTCGTACTGTGGCAGTTGAAATCTCCAATTACAAACTTAATCCTCTTTGCTCTAAAATTTGCAGGTTCAGCAAAACGGAAAGGCACATTTGGTGGTTTGTAGATGGACGTTACTGTACAGGACTGGAGTTCCACTGTCAGAATTTCTATGTCGCTATTACAAGTCAATGCCACAGAAAGGATCGTTAAATCTGGCTTTGTAAATATTGCACTACCGTATTGTCCATGTGGTCTCTCTAGAATAAGTTTCATGCCATTAATTTTTGGCCTATGGTCCGTTATACTTCTATGAGTCTCTTGCATGACCAGGATGTCACAATTTCGTTTTTTACACAAGTCCGAAAGTAAAATTTCTTTGTTCGGTGAAAGCCCTGAACGAAGTCCAGACTTGCCGATCAGCTAATATGCATCTTTCGAGTTATATATGAGGTTTAGTGATAATTTATTATGTTCAAATAGAACTTGTGAAAATGCCAAGTTCAGACTTATTCACAATAAATTCCAAAAAACACTGAAAGTGATAGAAAACTATGCAACAATGCATATCAGATGATTGAATATGAAATAAAGAATTATCAGGGATACCAAAATGTGAGCTTGTTTTATCGTTAAACAGAATCTTATGGTACTTGTAATTTGGGTTGCGTTAAAAAAAACACACCTTGTAATATAAGGTAACATTAGTGGTCTTTACTTCAGTTTATTTTGTGTTTATCGACGCCATTGGAATTCTTTATCTTTTGTTAGAGAACCTTAATCTCTTGGTCTAACGTTATTAATTTATTGACTTAATGTTTACAATGGGTTTTTGGTTATTTTTAGTTCTAATCCACCTTTCTGCTGCCGGTTTGAGTCGGATATTCAAGACTACTTTGGTGTTGCTCTTCTACAGTATTGTACTTGTAGTTGCATGGTGAATGTTGTGTGTATATCGGTGTGTTATGTGTTTGTGTCTAGAAGATGAGCTCTATTTTGTAGACCAGCAGATGAGCCAAAGTCCCCGTATGATGGGGGCCCCGTCACCAGGTACTCAACTGACCAGCCCAGCTCAGGCTCCACCTACACCTGCTCAGCCACAGCAGCCTCCCCCACAACCACAGGTACAAACAGTCAGATCTTTGAAGCTGGTTTATTACAAACAAGCGAAGTGTAATAATGAACTTAAGTGTTCTGGAAAATTTACTGAAGAGGTAATTAGAACAACAAAATAAGATTTTATAACATTTGATCTTTTTTACAGTTCTTAAGCTTAGTGGTAACCAAAGTAAAAATAAGTCAGCGTTAAACACATCTTAAAACTACAACAGGTTGCAAGTTATACCTACCATTGTTGAAGGAAAACTTGTTGAAGGAGTGCAGTCTTAATTCTCAAGTATGATTATAATGGTAATAGCCATTATAGTGGTAGATATAAGTCTAAAGTTATAGCGGAGATTTTAGTGGTAATTTAGTAGCCACAGACCTAAAATCCTTGGGAAAACAGGGAATTTTGAAGTTTCATAGAGAAACCCCGATTTTAGTGGCTTTTATTTGCATTATGAATCACAACACAACAAATCTTCTACTTTGCTCAGCATAAATTTTAAAAGCAAAATTTAGAACCAGCCTTCTGAATAATGCCTAGAGGCAACATAAGAGCTAAGCGTGTCCTATCCTTACTACCCTATTTGTAAGTATTGTTTTCATTAGGAACCCTAGTTGCATGAACCAGCTGTGTGTGTTAGCAAAGTCTGCCCATTAGATGTTGACATTCACATGTGTGCTGTGTTATGTTCAGGCCGGCAGAGAGAGACACACTATCTGGCAGGGTGTGCTGGAGTGGATTGAAAAATCAAAAACACCGAATGACGCACAGAAGAACACCAGGCATGTGCCATGTCAGGTCTCTGCCCATTCCAAGGATGGTGAACCTGAGCTGTAAGTTTCAACCGGCAAAATTCATTGCTTGTGCCTAGTGATACAATAGAAAATTCCTTTATGCAACCCTTGCACCAATTTTGTGTTGTTGATAACCAACTTAGTGCCACAACAAAAATTTTGATTATTTTTTTCAAATTTGAATTTTTTATAAATGATAATGAATAATGATGGTCTTGTATAAAATAAAAAGATAATATTTTTTACCAAACAGACACCATTATAATATAATAAAAGAGAAAGCCAACTGAACAAAATATATTCATGATACCTTTTTGTCAACGACTAAATGTTTGTAATCTAGATTTTTATCTCCTCAGGAAAGCAGATTCTTGGCCTCAGAAGCTGATCATGCAGTTGATGCCCAAGCAACTCATAGGCAACATTGGAGGAGCTTACCTCAAAAACTCCAAATCTGTTCTGTTCCATCCACAACCTTGTGAAGCACTCGAGTCACTCACCAAAGTCATGAGTTCAGGCTTTGTAAGTACTCTTGTGTCAAACTTATTTAGCCTAGTACTAAATAAGTAAGCACTTGCCTCGCCAACTACCCTCAGAATTGGCCTAAAATACAGTTGTCTCCGGGATTAGATTGAGGAAAACGAGCAGGATAACTGGCTTCCGACAATCCCGCAATCACGTGATGACAATTGGCAAATACAACTGTCTCACCAACTGGCTTTGTATAAACCCGGCTTGGATCTTTTCTCTTTGACAGCATAGAATGAAACAAGCTGTGTGTGTAGATGACCAGTAAGATGTTGTTATTGTTTGTGGCAGGCTGGATGTGTACACTTCACCAGTCTTTCAACCTCAGCCTGTGACATCAAGGTGCTGATCCTACTGTACACAGCTGAAAAGAGAGCTTACCTTGGGTTCATTCCTAATGACCAGGCTGCTTTTGTAGACCGTCTGAGGAAAGTGATTCAGCATCAGAAGACTTCGCAAGCAATGAGTCGTCAGGGACAGGTACTTACTTATTGTTTATAATAACTTATGAGAGACTCTTCTTTAATTTGCGTACCATACCAAGATAGTAAAATTAAAATCAAACACAAACCTGGATCAAACTGTAAAATCATATAAAATAATAATAATAAATTTTGAGATTGGACTCCGGGTGGCCATAGACTGGAAATTTTGCGTGAATATTGTATTTCACCGGGAACATCTCACTTAATTAAAATTTTGTTGCAATATGGCTTTAGGACAAATTTAGAAGGGTTTACAACCCAACGACGTACGGTACCTATTTTATTGTGAAAACGCTCATGAAACTCTGAAAAACCCGACCATTGAAACATTGTAAACATCATCTGCTGTCACTGCGAAATCGTGAATATTGTCTGCGGTCACGGTAAAATTGAGAACATGTACCACAGCAATGGCATAATTGTTTTTATCTTCCGCCGTTAAGTTGAAATTGTGTAAATCTTATGCGGTAGCAAACAAAATCACAAACACCTTCCATGGTAACCGTTAAATCTAGGACATTAACGGAACATTAAAGGAAAAAATATAACCTAGACTACCAGTTAAACAAAAACGAAACACTATCCTAAACACGTTTTAAATAACTGAGGGAATGTTTTCTTCATATCCTTTGCAGGGTGGAGCACCAGGCCAGGCACCAGGTATGAACCCTGCCCAAGGTGTCCAGCAAGGGGCCTCAGGTATGGGGGGGCCCATGGCAGGAGGCATGCAGCAACAGGGGGGCCTTATGGGTAGACCTATGGCTTCCATGGGACAGCAGCAAAACACTCTTGGTACGATATATGTTCATATACTGAAATTACAGTAGTAACCTACTTTCTTTGAATGATAAAACCATAGTCTTACAAGTAAATTTAGACTGTTTATTCTCGAGATAGCCTGTAAATTTAGTCAATATATGAGGTTTTCTAACTTAGGTACAAGGGCCTAGGTCTTAAAAAATTGTTTGTGATAGTAGGACCAAATTAATTATTTATTACTACCTATACTACAAAACAAACTATTTCGTCCATGTTTTGTTTGTTGATAGCTCAAATGAGGCATTCTATTGTGTCATGTTTTCAGTGGGTCAGGCAGGACAGGCAGGAGGTGCTGTAGTCAGTCAGGCAGGTCCTGGGGGTGGAGGTTTGATGTCAGGACCTACCACACAGCCTGCTACCAGCCAGGCCAATAACCAGATCAATATACAGGTAAATAACTACTAAACTACACAGTACGCGGTATTTACTCAGGGGAGGTACAGAAGAGGCTACGGGCTGTGGGCTTCTCATTAGCTGAGGGAACGCCATTACCGTAACAATACGATCTGTCGCCATCGGCCTCGGTGGTCTAGTGGTTAGCGTGCCGGGTTGATGTGCTGGAGGTCCCGGGTTCGAATCCCACTGGTAGCATTATCTTTTTGTCCAAGATTTTTTTCATTATCGGCAAGTTTGGTTGGTTTGGTTCGGTTATAACGACAGTTTAATTTTATTATTAAGTCATTATAAAATTTTAATTGAGCAATTTCTAGTTTTATTTAATAAACAGAATTATTTTTTCTATTACTAAACTTTTGTTATATTATTTCATTATCAGCAAGTTTGGTTAGTTCGGTTAGGTTATGATAGTTTAATTTTATAATTAAAAAATAACAAAATTGAATTTGAGGCATTTAACATTTTATTTTATGAACAGAACTATTTTTGCTATTAGTAAACCTGTATTGCCAAAGTGCTCTCTACTACAGCGTTGTTCACGGAGGAATTTTGAACTAATGCCTCAATCGTACCTCCCCTAAGTCAGACCCCACAGTACGCCTACAGAAAGGGTTTGGTCAAATCATCTAGAGGTCGGTGAATTTACCAATCACTCTCACAAAACAATTTTTCAAAAATTGTATATGTGCAGTTTAGTGGTTAGCATCTCGGACTTCGGTGCCGAAGGGATGGGTTCAATCCCCGGCACATCGAAAAAACTTGATGGGTTTGGACTGCTTTCCCTCAAAAGTGCTTGATTTGACTTCATTATAAAAATGCCTCTAACGTAGACACAAGCCAAAAAAAGGCATAGTATTACATTACGTCAGTGGGCTCTCAACAAATTTACACAAAAATGTTGAACACATAAACACAATTAATACTAGATGGGGTTTTTGACTGGTGCATTGCACTTTCATGATAAATGCTGGAAAGGTTTTAAAAATAATATTTTTTTCCAAGTTCAAAAAGTGAAATCTTATTACGTGGATACTTCTTGCCTTGCAGGCCTGTACTTCTTAGTGTACTTCATAGCTATTAGGTCACACTATTAACCTTTGGTAGGACTACAGTGAAGTTCTAATGGTCTGTTGTAGGGAGGAATGCAGTACAACCCAGGACCTCAGCAGATGGAGGTGGCCAGGAAACAGAACCTAGTCAAGATAGAACAGCTCAGACAGACGCTAGAGGCAGCTCAACAACAGGAACAACACTACAAGTCTCAAATGGAAGTGAGTATAGCTAGACACATCTAGAAACCCTCTAGTTGGTTTTCTTTAATTTATTATCAAAATGTACGAGCTTTTTTGTGAGGCGGAAGTCAGTTTCTTGCGTATCTTTTGCTGCAGGATTTATAGTAGCCCATTTTGAATGTGCAAAAAAAAAAACAAATAAACGGTGGTTCAAGGAAAAATTTTAAACAAGTTTTAAAATTTCTCTGTACAAGTTAATTAATTTGGAATCACTTCACTTACTTACCTAAATCCTCACATTTCATTAAAGAGAGTTTTCAGGTTTTAAAGCCATGATAGTTTTATGATATGGCTAGACAATTGGATTACAGTATTAGAGTGTAAGGATTATTACCTACATTTTTGTAGTTTTGCCTTTTGATCTGTTCATCCCCTTCTCCTCATTAAAGTCAAACTAAAATATAAATTGATATTGTGCGTAAGGTAATGTGTGTGATGAACACATTTAAAATCATTTACACAAGCTATATTGCATCGTTAAACAATTTAAAACTATGTTTTGTTTTAAACATCAGTTCAAAATAAACAAATAAAAGTTTTTCTTTATGTTTGGATGATAGTTTGACTAAATTTATGCTTAGGAATTTTTGTGAAAAGGAATAGAATTCAGCTAGCTTACCTGAGAAATGTTTTGGGTTATTTTATTGTATATCTATTATTAGCCTCTGGACTCTAATTTTCTCAGATAGGCCTAAGTTGGATTCTTGGCAACAGGTGTCCCTTTAAAATATAACCTAAAATTATGCTTGACTAAATTTTAGCTTTGATGGACATTATTTTAGACAAACAAAAATAAACCCCAATTTATAAAAAACTGGTTTATTGAAAAATATTTGCTTTCTTTCACAGTGATATAATCTGTGTTCTTACCTGGACACCAACTCCTGTGTTCAGGTGTTACCTGTGTTTGTGTGTTATATTTACTTACTCCAAGTTTGCTTGCCTCTAAAAGACTAAAATCTCTACTGCAACATTATATTTTAACATTTCGTAATTTATTATGAATAAAAAACATGATAATACATTATATTGTGGATGTCTGTTGCTCTAATAACATATCTAGCCTTCAAGTGGGTGTATTCACAGTGTTAATTCCTTGTAACCTATTTTCATTTTTTTTTTTTTTTTACTGAACAAAGGTTAAACTTGTATTCTAAGGCTAAAAACATTGACAACTTAACTCCCTTATAACTACAATACTGTAGAGTTAATTCCCAGATTGATTTGGAAATGATGTTTTCTTGAACGGATATCAGAAAGGTTGAGCCCTATTATCAGGCCTCCCTTATGAAGAAAAGATATCTCTGATCCAAATTTGACACAACTAAATTAACCTTGTTTATAAATTTTGTTTGTGCCTCGAGTTGTAAATTGGCACACTTATTTGCCTTGGTTTATTGAATTAATAGAAGTCATAAGTCTTTATTGCCATTAAATACAATAAGTACAATAGGCTCGTCATTTAAATAAATAAAACATGGAAAATCAAATCTATCAACAAATAATTCAAAATCCTTCATTTAGGTTAAACAATCATAAAAAAGTTGACACATAGCTTTGTTGCAGATTTTCAACCATATGAAGATCCAGCAACTACAACAAAACTTAGAACAGGCTCAACAACAGGAAAACCTCTTCAAGTCTCAGATGGAGGTAAACATATTGTTATGGTCCAGATGCTTTTGCACAGTTAAGGAATCACAGATTTCAGTTTTTTGCTTATTTCAGATTTCAGAGTATTAACTTATTATTATATCATCAAAAAGTTGCTCACAATCTGCATTCGTATTTGCACTTTGACATATTTCCTGCTGATAGCCAGTTGTGTCAATAATGATGCTATGTGAGGGTGGTGAGTGAAAGGCTCTTAACGACTAGGACAGTGGCGTCGTTCTGTAGTCCAGCTACTAGGAGGTCACGAGTTGTGGATATTTATAGAGATGCACTGTAGAGGCGATACTCCCTGGTGTGTATTAACGTCCGCACTAGTGAGTACTATGACTATCCGCAGTACTATCCTGATAATTAGCCTAGACCAATTCGTTAATACCAAGGAAAGAATGTGGTTTGGATAAACTGTAGGTCCCTTAGTTGCCATTAGCTGTTTGGGCTATTAATTAACAGCTGTGTCTAAGGAATATGTCGGCCTTAGTCACTAAAAAGACTACAAGATCGCGCCACTCGTACTACACTCATTCTTCACCCATATTTGGGCTAAAATACGCACATAGTGGCGTCCCCATCTTAAATAATTGATATAATTGATTGATAACAACACTAAGAATCATAACACTAGACGATATTAAATTAGTCAGCAACAATTAGGAGATAAATATTGAGATGAGGCCTAAATTATTGAGATGAACCTAATTATTGAGATGAATGTACAAAATAACAAAAGGTATGGTGGTACGGGTATAGTTATTTGTGTAATTATAGTGTGTGATGTGGCACTTTGCTGCACATGAGAGAAATGCGCACGAGCCGCAGGCGAGTGTGGAAAGTATCACAAGTGCAGCAAAGGCACTTTGCACTCGTGCTACATATTATATTTTTCTTATAGTTTCTATAAAGCCTATAAATAATTAGTCTTTCAAACACTAAACAACACGTTTTAGGTTAGATTAAATCCGAGCGTTGAATGAAAATAGAATGTTAACACGAAACAACAGGTTAAATCATAGTTACAATACTCAAAGGCTGTGAAACACTGTACCAGCTTATCGTAGTCATAGTATCTTTAAATGTTGCCAACTTATTTTCAAGCGTAAGTGTGATTCATCGGAGGGGTATTAGTGGAAGGGGGTGTAGTGGGCAAGATGTAACGGAGACCGGGTACAGTTTATCAACTGGGCTACCCTAATATTGATTGCAAATTTATATCGATTCGATTAGTAAACCTTCATTCAATTTTTTCATAATCAGCAAGTTTGGTTAGGTTAGGTTGGGTTATAACAGTTTCATTTTATCCCTAAAACAAATTTTTCTTATCCCCTCCTGGTCAATCTTTCCACCCCCATACCCGTCCCACTGTGGATCTGGTCACTGATACCTGGACGGCACGAGCCCCGCCATGCTTCAGGCTGTAAAATGACCCTCGTCATAGTGTTTAGGCAAAGGGCACTCGGCCCTGCACTCTTGAGGACTGCAGTGACATCACCGACTCGGCTCGATAGGCGAGAGGCGCTCTCTGTCTGGCCCACCTCTTTTACTCCATACATCTTGGGCTAAGTCCTTTGTGCGTCCAGCTAGAGTACTACGGTGTACTCACCTTACTCTAGCCACCTTACTACTACCTGCTCAACCTTATTCACTGCCTTCGTTTCGTCCACAATCGGAAAGAATGAGCGTGCACCTAGTACTTTAGTACATACTTCAATATTTGGGTACTTGCCAGTAAAAATCTAGTATTATATTTCAATGTAGGGTCTACAGGGTATGTTCAATGAAATTATCAATATGTATTCCTAATTCCTATGAATCCCAAGAATATCAGTTTGATTTTAAATTTTAACCAATACTATGAAATGTTTGTAGCAGGAGCAGCAAAAGCACCAGTTGAGAGCACAGTTGCATCAACTTCAACAACAACAACAACAGAGACAGATCACACCACAGCAACAGTCCAACAACGCTGGTGGAATGGCACAACAACAGCTGGCAGGGGCAGCCAACCAACAACAGATGATGAGACCTGCCATGTCCAACAACCCGGGCCTGAGGCATCTGCTGCAACAGGTACAAACATCTAGCCACAGCCGCACCATAATAAAACAACTTTGATTAAATGATTTGTTAATATTAAAACCTCTAAAATGTATAATACTTTTTAAAGTTGAAAAATGAGCACAATAACAAATATATTTATGTTCGAGGATTTTAAAATCTTTCACCTGGAGGGACTTCTTAATAACTCATTCAATGAACTGTAATCAATTGTTTCTGGACTGGGGCTGGTTAGGCGCCTTGACAGAGTTTTTATAAGGATAGACAGATACTAGTCTTGTATGGAGCACGTAGTCAACGAGTGCTTTCAATGGAGAATTAGCTGGTCTGCATAACACATGTGATGCTTGCATGTAAGCGAAACAAGGAAATCCTATTCCACCCATTTTACATATTTGTGTTATTATTCGTAATTAGTGCTGTACTTTTCACTTTACGCTATTAATGCTACCATAGGTAAGCATCGTTTTACATATACTTTGCAGCTGATAATGAAAGCCATGTGACATTCAACCTGCAATACAAATTTTAATATTGGTATCAGCAATCTGACACATACTTTCTCCCATAAGCTTGTCAACAACCTTAACCCATTGGGGAAGGAATTAATGCGCTGCCTGCAGCCCCCTCTGTCGGCAATTCATTTTACCGAATTTGTAGAGTTTTACTCTAATTGTTATAGAAAGAAAACCTTAGGTAATAAATTAATAATTCTTTTGCCATTTTGTTCACAGTTAAAATTGTCTACAAAAAAAGTGGATAGTCAAAGTAAAAAGAAAGATTACAACAATAACAATTTTAAAAAACATTTTTTTTTAAAGTAAACTTTATTTACAAATTCCAAGATTAATCCAGACACCAAATGACCCTACAATTATAAATTTCAATTGATTCCCTACGTAGAAAAATCACAAGTAGTGAACTTTTATATGTAATAAGATATTGTTTACCTTACCACAGCTGCATACAATATATATATACCACAGCTGCAAATATGCAATACAAGAAGCAAGATATTTATAAACATTATAAAAGTAAGAAAAAACAAAAATGGGGGAAAATTATAATAATAAATAACTAATGGCGCTGTGTAGCGGTGATATGAGCCAGCAGCACTCATATGCAGCGGCCGTACGAGTAATGCTCGAAGTTGACACCAATGGGTTAATCATGGGCAAGCGGTGAGAGTAACTATGATTTTTATAATCACAAAAGCTGCATTAACTTTTGGACTATGCCATTGGGATTTGTGCCATTTTGTTCAGAACTTAAATGACTAAGTTATAACATAATTTTTATCGTAATTGTTTGGGCTATTTTCTAAAAAAATTTGTTCCATTATTTTATGGGCTTTTATGGGAAAATCAACATAAAAATCAAAATTAAAAAAACACCTGGAGATACCATTGATTAGTACCTACATAACAAATTTAATCAAAATCAGACAACAGGTGTAGTCTGTAGCTCTGTACACATCTCTGTACACACAGGGGGACCCAAAACGTATATATCCACTCAAAACTAAAACTCGAAAATTTTGACGAAAACAATACTTTCTACATATATACCTACTATGGTATAAGGGGAGAAAGTAAAAACAGTGCCATGTCTGTTTTTGTTTTTCGTTTGACGATGGTGATAATTGTCTAAGGTGTTGATGATGTGTGTTTCAGCCTCAATATCGACAACAGATGATGGGAATGCAACAGATGCAGCGTAACACCAACACACAACAACCGTTTGACGACAATACATTTGACTTCCTAAACTAGAAAAATATCTATTTAATCCTCGGGTCTCGGGATTATGTTAATTCTATATGTTTACTAAACCCATTTATTGATTGTATACAAAAGTTTGAATTTTCAAATTTAATTCTACAAGTTTACATTGTAATATTTAAAAAATAAGATATTATTTTTAGAAGCTGTAACAAAATGTAATGATGTTTATCTATAATGACACACACACCCACAAACGTTTTTATAAGAAACATAGTATTACTGAGTACACACTTTTGCTACGTTTAAAGGTCAGTAAGGTGAATGTATCTTGAAATTGTTAGAAAGTGTACCAACAATTTATTGAAATAAGTATTACTAAGATGGTTTATTTTTTGAGAAGCAAAATACAAGGCCTTCTCTAAAAATGCCAAAAGTACACTACAATTTGGTGAATTTGGTGTGATTTTTTGTAAAGTATCTTTAATATTTTTATTTTGTTATTGTTGAATATTTAATCACTCTTTTATTTTTAAAATTGTAATTTTTTATTTAGTTTTAAAATAAGATTTTAATTATGACATCAACTTGATGTGTTCGAAGTATTTTTGTACAACAATTAAACATGTTAAGTTATATTGTATTTTTAACATTTTAACATTAAAGTATATAAATAGAAGTGTTTATTGAAGTGCATGGGCTTAGTTAATATTTTAAAAGATGTGCATGAAAATATTTATTTATCAAACAAATGTAAATAGCATAACGATCGATCATATATTTAAACCTAAATTATCATGAAATCTCAGTTCAAAGCTGTTGTATTTAGTCCTGATGAATATTAGATTAATTTAACCTTTTTTGTAATATGTAATACAGACTCCAAAGAATGTAGTAAATTATATTATTGTTTTAATGTTTTGTAACCTAATTGTTTTTTCTGTCAAATCAAACTCTTTCTGTTTTAGCGAATTTCCCATATAGGGAATAAGCTATTACCGTAGTACTCATGGTAAGACCTGGACCCGGGACCGATCTAATATTTCATTTTGAGGTCCCTAGAGGCCAAAAACACCATCTGTTCAAATTCATATATATACAATTGTTTGGATAAAGGGCTACTATTATAAATATATATATATATATATATACATACAGGGTGACAAAAAAATCTGGAAACGGCTTAATATCTTTTTAGCTAAATCCGTTAGAAAATTAAAATCTTTCACACCAACTTATGTGTATGAAAACTACTTTTTGCAAGCATTGTCATTTTTTGACCTCCACTAGGGGACGACCCATGACGAGTAGGTATATAATCTTTAATGTAAGCATAGGTCTATATGCACATCATTTTAAAGTGCTGATCAAGTGGAGTTCATTGCCGGAAACCGCGTCTCAAAAGGTTCATCTGTTACAAAATGGCGGCTATCCAAAGTTCTTGTGGAATATACCGGCACAGGCTTAGTACTGGCAAATACTCGTAGTCAACATTAGCCGAAAAAGCTGAAACCCGGTTAAATTTGTTTTGAATATTGAATAGTATTATTCAATGAGATAGTTTACTTTAAATGTCAATTTCAGCTCTTAAGCTAATGTTGACTACGAGTATTTACCAATACTAAGGCCTGTGCAGGTATATTCCACAAGAACTTTGGACGTCCCCCATTTTTTAACGGATGAACCTTTTTAGCTACGGTTTCCGGCAATGAACTCCACTTGACCTTGAGCCCTTTAAAATGATGTGCATATGCTACCGACCTATGCTTACATTAAAGCTTAAGTACCTACTCCTCATGGGTCGTCCCCTGGTAGGGGCCAAAAATTGGTAATGCTTGCAAAAAGTAGTTTTCATTCATGAAAGTTTATGTGAAAGGAATGAATTTTCTAACGGATTTAGGTAAAAAGATATTAAGCCGTTTCCAGACTTTTTTGTCACTCTGTATATGTGTGTCCTTTAGCGCGATAACTCGAGCAAGAATGATCCGATTTTGATGAAATTTTGTACAAACGTGTAAACCTACGTTTATTCAAACGAGTTCGCAAACCAGCATAAACAGACCATGGGAAAACAGGGGTTTATGGGGAGTTTTATGGGGTAAAAATGGGGTTTTCCCATTATTGTAGTTTTACTTGTTTGTGGATATATATTGATAAAATTTGGCAAATTTATTTATTTCATCTATACTATTGACATATGGTCAAAAAAACTTTTTACCTTCCCCGTAGCAGCAAATCTAATGTTATTTAAATTCGGAATAAATATGTCTTAGTTATGGAAATATTTTAGTAAAAATGTAATCAGACAAGTTGAAATTCGCTTAGTCTGCAGGTGTGCTGCGGCGGGGGTATTTTAACTATTTTGTTTGTATGTAAATAAATATTACTGCAAATCTGTGTTTAATTAATTCACCATATTTCCCCCTTTTTGTGTAAATTGGCAATGTTTGTCCTAAAATTGAAAATAAAAGTGAAGAACTCAAGATGAATCTATAGGTACAATCCAAAAAAACTCTTCAGTGAAATAGATTTTCCTCTAGCTTCCTGGAACTCTCTATCATAAAAGTTGTTCTCATCTTTTACAGATGTAGCATTTTCACTCTGTTAGTACAGTAAAGAAAATATCAGGTCCTCTTTTCAATATTTATTTTATACTCAGCTTTAAAGCAAAAAAATGTGAATTTACAACTAGATTGATACCTATAACTGTTTAAAACCATTATGTTTAAAGTATACAGGGTGATTGATATAAGTGTGCCAGCCGTTTTATTCGAAAACTATAAGAGATATCAAAAGAAGTTAAAAGGAAAGTGCCTTGGATTTTTTATTTAAAAAATTGTAGTTAAGTCGAAAAAATTATTTTAGCCGCCATTTTTCCAATATGGCCGCCAACTTTGATTTTTCTTATAGAACAGCCTGTATTTTATGATGTATTCCGGTAGAAAAAATAATTTTAAGACGATTTTATTCTTGTAATTTTTTCATAAACCTAACCATTTCAAAGATAATAATGGTTTAAGTGGTGAAATTTCGAATAATTTTTGAATAAAACAGCTGGCATGCTTGCTTAGGCCTTTATCGAAACTCTTTCTCATGCCGAAATTTAAAAACTTTAACCATTATTATGTTTGAAACGGTTAGGTTTATGAAAAAAATTACAAGAATAAAATCGTCTTAAAATTTCATTTTCTACCGGAACACATCATAAAATACAGGGAGTTCTATAAGAAAAATCAAAGTTGGCGGCTAAAATATTTTTTTCGACATGACTACAATTTTTCAAATAAAAAATCCAAGGCACTTACCATTTAACTTTTTTTGATATCTCTTATAGTTTACGAATAAAACGGCTGGCACACTTATATCAATCACCCTGTATAGATATATTCCCTGGCTGCAAAATGCAAATTTTGAAAATGTATAGCTTTTTTAAAAATATTTTATTTTTATAATTTTCCTATTAATTTCTTCAGCTTGAAAAAGTGAAGAAAATTTACATTAAATGTGATTACTTTATTAAGAATACACAGAACACAAGTGAAGGTTATTGTGTGACAATAAACAGTGGTCTTGTATTTTCAAAGGTAGAAAGAAATAATAGTGGGAGTGAAGAGTGAATGGGTAGGCTAATACAGTATACTGAAGTCAAACTATAGCAAGAAAAATGGCATCATCAAACTGACTTATACTTTCTCTTTCTCCCATAAGCTGGCATTATAATTGAACATCCTACTATTTTTATGTGTACAGGTAAATATGAGCTTTTATGGAGAAAAGCAGCAATAACTTTTGTAAAACTTTGGGGCTTGTGCCATGTTCGGAGTTAAAAGGACTGTAACATACTATATACTTCAATCAAAACTGTTAGACCTGTTTTTATTTTGTGTAAATGAGATTTTCCATTCATTGAAAATCAAAATTCCAAAAATAAAAAATAAACTGGAGATACTATCAATAAGTATAAGTACCCACAAACCAAAATCCTCAAAATTGTACACAGACGTCACTTTGAGAGCCACTTTTTTGGGTTCAGGAGGATCCAAAATAGATTTTTCCACCCAAAAAATAAAATCGATAATTTTACAACAACAATACCTTCTCCTACTATTTATAGGAAGAGGAAATAAACAAGTTCAATAATTAAACATATGATAGTAAAACTCAAACTATATTTGTATACTGTGGTGTATTGAGAACAAAGACATTTAAAAACATATTGCAAGGAATTATTAAATAAGTATACCTACTGAACAAACCCCAAAAATTGGATATAAAATGCAAGCTAGGCTATAAAAAACCCAATAGCATCTCTTAATTTTGGAACTGGGATTCCTAAAGTGGTTTTTGACTCTACCGAGATTAACTGCATAGATGTGCAAACACTACTACCTACCATACTATGTGGTTACATACATAAGGTATCTGACAACATTCAGTAGCTTCTTGTTGATTTAAAACTGGACCATCAGTGATCATTGTTTTGTTGGGCTTTTGATGGATCTTGCTAAATAAACAACTAGACTGGATGGTCTTAGTAAAAATACCTACGTTGAATGGTCGTACTATACAGTCAACCTACTTTCATTCAGCCACACAATATTATGAAACAATGATGAGACAATTTTGACAACCTTATTATAAAGGCAGATGTATTTAATTAATAAATTATTTCCTTCATTATAGAAGTTCTGAGTAAAGTTAGGGCAATCCATCAACATTAGGAAAGTGTTTTGTGATCTTTGACCATGTCCTAATTTAGACATAAAGAGGGTTCTTAAAAATAATAACCTCAGTTTTATTATATACTTAAAAGTGTTATAAGTTGGTTAATTATCATTCAGTTCGAGTGAGATTAATTCAGTAAGATATAATTAAGGTGTTCAAAGATTTGCATTCAGAATAAAACTGTCATAATTATTTTTATATTATTTTACATAAGCATTATTTTTTAGATAATTTAGTTAGCTTTTAAAATGTTTGAAGATAAACCATTTTTAAACAAGGTATACCAGGTCTACCGTAGGCCTGGTTAAAAACGTTAAATTTGACATTTACAAGTGTCTTTGCTTGAACACTTATCAAAGATGCTTAGATGAAGTTTGTAGCCTAAATTTCTCTCACATATTATTGAGATTTTAGTAAAAATCAAGTACATACAGACATACAGATTACTGCGCTCTACGTTAAGTTTGTATTTTTAAATGTTTTCTTGATCCTAGATGCAAGGAACAAATCCACAAAATGGGCCTGGAAGTTCTGAACACTATAAGCGTATAAGTCTGTCTGTCTGTATGTCTTCGTGTATAAGTCTGTTTATCTGTATCATCGATGTATGTCCTTCTCTTGCATTACCAAATTGTTCATTCATGAATAGTTTTATTACTTTTTTTACTGTACATAAAGATCATTGTGCAGCATAATGATGCCAATCAAAATTAAATTGCTGTAAACTGTTAGGTACGAAATACAGGGTGTTTGTGAACTCTCTCGAAAAAATTCACAGGATTATTCCTTGGGTTAATACATGAATATTTTACATTATAAACATGGGTCGCCGGAGCCTCGTTTTCTGTCTGTCCGTCTGTATGTGTTCTTTATAAATAACTTTATAACTCGAGTTTGAATTGAGGTACAAACTTTAAATTTGACACACTTGTGTATTTTAACGTGTTACACAAACATGCAAAATTTCATTTCGTTGACTATAGCCGTTTTAAAATGGCGGCCATCTAAAATCTTTGACCTCAAATTACGTAAAAAACACTAGAGTTACAAAAGAAACACAAGGATAACAAAATGTGGGAAATTGTATGCCAAATTAAATGACACCTAGATCTTAAAGATCGGACAAGAAACAGCTGAGTTATTAATTTTTTAAATAATTAATAATTTCTTTACTGGCTTTTAATTGATATTGTTTATACTTAAAAATCATCTGATCCTTTCTAAATTGTCACAACAATGTAAGACAGCTGGTTGGACAGATGATTTTGAGATGATCACATGATTATTTTGAGTTATTAATTTGTTTAATAATTAATAATTTGTTTACTGGATTTTAATTGTTATTGTCTATTCTTTAAAATCATCTGATCCTTTCTAAATTGTTACAACAATGTAAGACAGCTGGTTTGCCCTAACAACAACATTTAGTTTTTTTACTAGAAGGTAAATGTATTAAGTGTCCTATTTTTACCTTAACTATTGAGATGTGTTTAAGGTTACGTAATGTACTCTGTATCAGATGATTTTAAAGAATAAACAATAACAATTAAAAGCCAGTAAAAAAATTATTAATTATTAAAAAAAAACTATAACTCAGCTGTTTGTTGTTCGATCTTTAAGATCTAGGTGTCATTTGATTTGGCATAAAATTTCCTAAATTTTGTTATTCTTGTATTTTTTTTTGTAACTCTAGTGGTTTTCATGTAATTTGAGGTCAACGATTTTAGATCGCCGCCATTTTGAAACGGCTATAGTCATCGAAATGAAATTTTGCATGTTTGTGTACCACGTTAAAATACACAAGTGTGTCAAATTTAAAGTTTGTACCTTGATTCAAACTCGAGTTATAAGGTTATTTATTAAAAACACATACAGACAGACAGACGGAAAACGAGGCTCCGGCGACCCATGTTTATAATGTAAAATATTCATATATTAACCCAAGGAATAATCCTGTGAATTTTTTCGAGAGAGTTCACAAACACCCTGTATAAAAATAAAGACAATAGACTATTGCACCACTAACCGTTTACCGTTGTCAGTTTACCTCACCATGTGTGAACCAGACCTTGGAATTTGTTAGCACATGGAAGTTATGTAACTCACATACCATTTGTAAAGCTTAAGTTAAGGGGCCATAATTGTAAAGAAAGAGTAAAGGAATTAGCAGCTAAGCCAATCAGAATGCAAAATTTTATTCTGTTTTGCAAAATTAAAATTTATTCACAATATATAAGAATTTGATGAATATTTATATTTACAGGATAAAAAATTTAATGGACAGTAGTATTAAAACAATAAATTTACAGTTAAGTCAGGATTAAACTGCATGATGACAACAATGTGTCGAAAAGTTCGAAGCCCTCTCGTCTGCCGTGCACCCGAAGAGTTTTAAGTGACAGAGTATGTTCCTTTAATTTTTAATTATTCTAACTCCATACCTATATATGGTATGATCCTAAAGAGCATGACTTTATTATACTCGTACTCCTTAGTCCTTACGGAAGTTACTTTTAGCAAATTTCCCAGACCTAGGTATTTAGTTATTACCGTAGGTCTCTAGGTAAGATATGAACGGGAGAGACATAGGCTACTTTAACAACAAAAATCGTACAATTACTTTAGTTTATTCATACAAAAATAAGAAAATTACTCTGGTCCAAAAAGACATCTGATGGACAGTTTATGAGTGGGGGGGGGGGGGGGGGGGGGGGAGATTCAGTGGAGAATGGAGATTGGAGAAGAAAGTAGTTTCCTGCGCGAAGGACGACAGTCTGTCTATGTAGGCCGTCGTGGATCCTGACTGCCTTTCTCTTGTGAGTACGCGCGTACTGAAGTGTGTATTTATCTACCTCTATCATAACAAACATCATCAAGTATTCTAATAACATCTAGTCTTCGATATCAGTAAGTAGAGCCAATCTGCCGATCAAGAGGTGTTGGTAGGCCTTAGTTGTAGTTTTAAGAGTTCAGAGACATTTATAATTACATCAAGAATCCTAATAGCTATATGTGAAAGTGCCACTTTCATAGCGGTCGCAAATCAGAGAATCAACTCTTATCTGTTTCCTCTCGAATACGACTTTAGTTTGTTTAGAAGTAAGAAATTTCCTTACTACTGTATATACAAAAACTGAGATATTTTTTGCCGTTTAAAAGTGTTATGTTGGACGAAAATACTTTAAATTAACTATATCTAACATAACAACTAAATTGAATGTTCTATGAGTGAATTTAAAAACAAAACAGAATAACTTAATCCAAAAACTGTAAATAGAACAAACATTTTCTTTAAAAACGTAATTTTAAAAACTAAGTTATAGTCTGTTCACAAAATGAAAATTCTGTTAATTCTAGAAAAATCTACATATTATTTTCACTTTAGTTATTATCAATTCGTATGAAAAGGTAATAGTAAAGTATGGTTTATTGTCCAGTGTCATTTCAAACGTGTGTGCTCAAAATACAATAAACAATTTATTTAAATCGTTCGAAATAAGACAGTAGAATAAGAAACAGGATTTTATGCTTCATAGAGTAAGATGTTTGGTATTTAAATCGTTGTGATGTTTTAAAATAAACCATATTGAGAATACGTGTATACTCAACGTTTAAATTGTTGTTTAAATTGTAACGAAGGTAACTTGAGGTGCAAAATGTATAGGGTTTTATCCAAATTATAAACAAATCAAGATAACACATCATTTTTTGCAGACGACACTTCAATCAGCGTATCTAGAACATCTCTCATCTCTCTAAAATAGTTGTATCGCTGTAAATAAAACATGTGATTGGAATTTCTTCCATTTATTTTGATTTTATGTTTACATTTCCTTGTTATTTCGTCTCCAACATGGCAACCCATTAAGCCCATGTTAATTTTTTCTTAATTTTAAATTCATTTTTTGTGCTTTATCTCGCCATCAAGCCTATTCCCTATATGCTTTAATGTTCTTAATACTTTATTCTAAAATGGCGACCATACGAATGTAGGTATTTTATGCCAAGTATTATCTGGAATGAGTGTAGGATAAGTGAGTGATCTTGCAGTCTTGTTAGTGACTAAGGTTGACATGAAGGAATTTACTAAAACATAGCCCTTTAAATAAAAAAAAAAAAACAATTTCTCAAAGATTAAAAATCATTACAGTTATCTCACATTAGAAAATGTTTTTGTAAACACAACATTTTTTTAGTTTGATAGGTACCTTTAAAACAAGAAAGTTTCATTTTGGAACATTTATAAATACATCATTTCACACGCTCTGCAGTAAAAAAATAGTATACCGTAAAACATATAAAATATCATCAATACAAATATCTCATAAATAATGTATTTAACATAAAGTTATTTCCAGAACCATTGAATTTGCTGTTATTATGTAGGTAACTTGTCTCGTTTTCAATTTTGTATTCATGACAAACTATTTTGATTCATGTATACACATACACAAAGTGAAAACACATAAAATTACTTGAATGGGTTACAACCACACTTAGTTATATGTTCATTATTGATTTAGTGATAATTCACTGTAGTTACCTTCCTGTCACTAGTGTCAGGCTGGTCGTTGTTGTCTTTGTTCTATCTTGTCACACATTTTTGTTTCTCAACAACTCATCCTCTTTCAGATGGTAATGTCGGTTTGGGCGACTAGTTTGTATTCATTGACTTCTTTATTTACAACTGACCAACAACCATAACCATTATGCATAGCTAGAACAAAGAAACTACAACAATGAATAGCCTGAGGTTGTTAAGAGTACAAAGAATACTGTAATCTGAATTGAGCATTTATTATCAGTGACAATCATGAATTTAACTTAAATTTGTGATTTAAATTTAATTTAATATCATACTGGTAATTAATGCAGATAGTATGGTAAAATAAAATATTGGTTAACATAACAGTAAACACAATAGAAAATTCATCCTGAAACAAAAAGAACCTTTAAAATGGCCTAAGCAGATTCATAAGGATGATAAATAAAGGCTTGATGAGTGTTTAACCTTAGGTTTTACTAAGCCCATCAGCTACTCACATGATTATTTACAATGTTTCTAATCGTGAAGAATAACTTATTTACTACCAAACTTCAAAAGATAAATATTTTCTCTTAATTTCAATCATTTTAGTGACTCTGTTTGATAATTTCATATTTTACATATTTTATTTTTGTTGCACTACCCAATGCCATTGGCAATTTTACAGTTTGTCAATAGAACGGTCTAAAACCTGGTCTTTTTACTATACTCAGTTGCAGTTCACAAAATTTAGGAGGTTTAAAGCAAAGTTCCTCCACTACTTTTTTGCTATAATATGTTGGAGCTGATTGGCGTTTTGGCAAACCTCTCAGCTGTTGAGCTATTAATTGTTTCAAAGGTAGGATCATGTAGAGAGAATATAGATTTCTTCCCCAAAAACCACCTAATTTTTGTGAATGGATTATAGCTTTAATAATGTCAATTTTTAAATATGGCATCATTATTTGAAAAGCAAAATGACAAATTGGATCTAGGTCTGTAATACATCTCTCAGGATTGAACCGGCAGCCTCTAGATTTAAAGGCAAGCACTAAGACGTTGACAACCATTGCGAAAGTGAATCATGTATCACTAATTTTACAATTTACAGAAACATGAAACAAGCGAGCATCTTGAAGAGGATATCAGGAACGTTGCAGCAAGTGGCAAGGTTGAACCAAGTGCAAGTTCGCACAAAGTCGTCAGCTGTGGAGGACCTCTCACTGACTGATGAGTTCACCAGTGCTAGACCTTACGAGGAGATGCCCGGCCCTGCGCCACTGCCGCTGCTGGGCAACAACTGGCGATTCATGCCCTTCATAGGTATGTTACAGCACAAGTTAAAGAGTAGACAACTCTTTAATTTGTGATTACTTAAATAATGGGCTTAATCATTACTGAAGTATAATTCAAGAAATACTTGTAGGTAGCTAAATTGGGAATGTTTTGGGAAAAGGAAGTGTTGGTTCAGTTAACATACCAGTGAATGAAAAGGGTTTACACAAAAAACTCACAAACAATACTGGTTTTTTATCAACCTACTCTAGAAGAAGTCCTGGCAAATATCAGAGTTTTGTTATGTGGGATGTTTCTGTGTATCTTTAAAGCTTCTTAACACCTACCTTTCTCAGGTAAAATATGAGAACTCTATCTACCTAAAAAAACTCACATAAAAATTAGATATGCTTATAAAGATATAGGATAAATTCTTCTTTTTATAAGGTAATTTAATTTGCATAAATAAATCATAACTTTTTTGCCATAAAAGACACAAAAAATAAAAACTAAAAAAAATTTATTTTAAAGATTTTGTATTAACATAAGAATACTAGAACAAAATCTGTAATCACCCAAGATACTAAGTTTAAGGCTCTTTCACACCGCCCAGCGACGTTTCAAACGTCCACTTGTTTGCGCATGACTCATGGACAGGTGATCAGTCAAGTGCAGTTCTCACTCAGTGTTTAAGTCTGTTAGTTCCCGTGCTAAGATGTCTTTTTTGCTAGTTCCTTGGTGTGAGCCCGGATTTACTGTTCCATGGATGGACGAATCAAGTGGTGACAGTGACGATGACTTAGTGTTATTATATTCCTTGGTATTAGCCATGGTATTAGCTTCCATGGTATTAGCCTGGTACAACGCACAAAACACCAGCAACAACAAACAGTAAACACACTGCAGATAACGCGGGGTGCGAATAGTGGCGGGAAGCACCACGTAAGGACGTCCGGGACGTCCAGGAAGCTGGTGTGAAAAGGCCTTTACCACTTAGTTAACACAGCACACTTAGGTGAGATGCAATAAACATTTCCTTATAATTTCCTGTAAACCTCAATTCTGTCAACCAATTTGAAGTGTACATTTTACTTTAAAACATGTTTTGAATTGCCTGTCCTGTGACAGGTTTTTTTAAGTAATTTTTTCTTTTTAGAGCTTTTAATCTTATAGTTAAGATATTTAATTTAAAAACTTTTGTGAGCGTAGTAGGCTTAACTGAATGGGAAAGAGTCCAAACCGGCACAAGAGACACACAAGTACACTATAAGCACAAAACATTCGAATATTTCACTGTCACTGATACCATTTTCAACAAAGGAAAAGATCTTCTCTCTTACAAAATGCTCTCTGTTACATTTCTTAATTTAAGATTTTTATTTAAATTGGAACACGAAACACCCCAATGTTTTACTATGTGTACTTTCTCAGGTAACTACAGTATCGAGCATATAGACCAGGTGTGCCAACAGTTACACAGACAGTACGGTCGTATAGTCAAGTTGGCAGGACTGCTTGGCCGGCCAGACATGGTGTTCCTGTTTGACGCAGACGACATAGAGCGAGTGTTCCGCAGTGAGGAACTGATGCCTCACAGACCGTCCATGCCTTCCCTCAACTACTACAAACATGTCCTGCGCAAGGACTTCTTTGGTGAAGACGCTGGGGTGATAGCTGTGTGAGTTTCAAATGTTCAAGGGCAAGATTTTATAGGTTTCAAATCAAGAAAGTAGTTCTAGATTTAAATTAATACAGATGAGCGGAGGGTGGTAGTTTGCTACTTTTTTAAATGTAAGGAGCCCTGTTGGTTGAAGAGAAGGAAGAGTGGTTGTGATTTATAGTTAACAATGAAAGGCTTTTATTCATCTCATGTTCAGTTTCCACAAGCAGTGAAAACATGAGAAAGTGCTAATTTTGTGATCTTTTATCTTATCTTACTAATATTATAAATGTGAGAGTTTGGGTGTTTGTGAAAATGTCACATGGGCAATCTCGTGAAAACCAATGTGAATAAACCAATTGAGCTTCAATTTTGCATAAATATAAGATGGAATTAGACCTAATTTTATGTTGAAACCCTCCCATGGTTCGCACTGGCACTGGCATTCAAAGTGCCTTTGTCATTAGCATCTAGTTATTCCTATATTTTTCAATCCCTCTCTTTGATTATTGTGTAAGACCATTTCATAATTGTTTCCATCAAATAAATTCATTCTCCACATTCTTTTGCTATCATTTTGGTTCTGGGCCTTGCATTCTCTAGCATTCACTTACTGATATTGTTTTTATGTTGAACTGATGTTTGCGTTTCCACTCCATAGGCATGGAGAACAGTGGTACAGGTTCCGTACCAGAGTACAGCAGCCAATGTTGCAACCAAGAACAGCAAAGCTCTATGTAACTCCTATCGAACAGACCGCTCAAGCATTCATTGACAGGTGAAAAAACTAACTACTTAATGTGTTTCTAACTTATATTGGCTATTCTTGAACCATATACAATAATAATTTTAACTAAAAGGATTATTGCTTTGATATTAAAATTTTGAGTTTGTACGAATTGCACTTATATAACAATTTAATAGAGTGAAAAGTGATAGGTAAATCTTTAAAACAATTCCTTCATGAGAAATTAAGTCTCACTTGAAGATAAGTAAACAGAAAAGTAAGCATTAGCACATTTTCTCGTAATGAATGTGTTTTATAAAAAAAAAATATTAGTTTAGTATTTCGCCATTCAAAGACAGAGAGAGACTACCTCTTCTTCCTCCCTTCCTCATCTAATCAAGTGGTCAATGGTCGGCACTTTGATAACAACACTGTGACAACAAGTCTCCAATGTAGCAAACAAGTCTTTTCCAAGAAAATGGATGATTTGAATGTTTCCATCCACCTTATACAAACTTGACCTCTGTGGCTTGTTCATAACAGAAAACACCATGAAGTCATCGTCAAGTAATGGACCAGAGAAGACTTGTTCTTGGCAAATTATGAGGTAACTTACAACAATTTGAATGAGAGACCAGAGTATAGGGAACTAATTTTGTACTCTGATGAAGAACAATTCAAATTTATTGGTGCAAGAATGCATAATGAGAAGAAAATCAACAGTCTGTTAAACGTGTGGGAAAAGAAAATTCTACAGTTTCTTAGTAATATCGGATTTTGGAAGAGCTTTTGGAGAGGATAAGAATGTGATGCCACTACCCAAGGGCATGAGCCTGGAAATTTGCTCTTAATTTCCCCAAACCTGTGGTGGAAGTGTTCAGTCCCATCTAACACTGAGGAACTCATCAAAGCTATACACAGCATAGATAATTGTGCTTCAAGTGATGATGGTGCTTAATTGAGTGAATATAGTCAGTCTGCCTCCAGAAGCCCACACATTTTAATGTTTTCCTTAAATGGAAGATAAGGGAGCAGTCAAACAAGTGAGAAGACAGTCCACAAGGCTTTAGCACTGTTGGTGGATAACACTCCAAGGTCAGAAGAGAAGATGCTAATAGGAGGACACTTGGGCAGATGCTGCCTGCCTTCAAAAATGGCTATCTAGTGCAGGCCGAAGTAGAGCTTGATGAACAAAGAGGAACATTGTACAGAAGGTGAGGTCTGTGCCGCTTGCTTAGACACTACAGCCTTGCGCCTCTACCCTCTTCCTCAGGTAGTAGGTTTGAACACAGCCATCAAAATCAACAGGGGACTTCACTATGACAAGTGAAACGCTGCAAGAGCAAGTGAAAAATTTGATTTCAACAATAACAAATAATTTTTGACATATCACACTGAAGTGTAGTCTGTTTTTAATGGTAAATTTTTATATTTAGTTTTTACAAGGCTACTATAAGAACATTCTTTTTCAGGATTCGAACGATAAGAGATTCATCCATGGAAATGCCTGATGATTTTTTAAATGAGATTCACAAATGGTCATTAGAATGTAAGTATAAATCACTGAGCATAACATTATTCAATATGTTGACTAATGTCATAGAATAACCAACACAAGTAAGTAGACTTCTCATACTGACTTACTTACTGCCGTGGCTCTTGGTACCTAAGGTAATACTTTGCCTCGCCAACACATTGCCTCCAGATTTTTCTATCCATTGCCTCTTCTTCCCTTCTTCCCAGTCTTCTTAGGTCTTTTCTAATCTGGTCTCGCCATCTCAACTTGGGCCTTCCTGGTGGTCTTCTGCCCTCCAGATTGTTCAAAAGGATGTTCTTGACTAGGGAGTCATCCTCTTTCCTTAGTAAATGGCCAGCCCATCTCATTCTCCTACCTCTCACCTCGGCCAGTATGTACTGCCCATATATAATTGCCTCAACTCCGCATTGTGTTTTATCCTCTACTCTCCATCTTCAAAGGTTGAACCATATATTTTTCTCAATATTTTGTTCTCAAATACTATCAAACGTTTTTCTGTTTTTTTTCTTAACACCCAATTTTCTGAGCCGTATAACAGAACTGGTCTTATAATGGTTTTATATATACAGAGTTTTGTTTTGTGTGATAGTATTCGATAGCTTAATATCTTCTTCATTATTATTCGTCAGTATTACTCCCAAATAAGTGAAGTTGTTTACTTTTTTAAAGTCGTACCCTTCTATTTCTATATTGTTGTCATTGTTTATTTGGGTTGCTCTCCCACACTCCATTAATTTAGTTTTCCCTTCATTTATTCTTGAACCAACTTTCTGTGTATGGTTTAGGAGTTTTGTGACCAGCACTTTCAGCTCTTCTTTACTCTCCGCTATAATTGCAACATCATCTGCAAATGCAAGGACGTTTATTTTGGTCCCTGTTGTAATTCCAGCTTCTGTTTGTCTTACTTCTTGTAGTGCTTCCTCTAAAGCTAAATTAAATAGCAATGGGGACAAACCATCAAACTTTTCTGAGATTTCGCCATTTATCTTACCTTACACCTAGATTCTGATATGCTTGATTTTGATAAGTTTATTAATTTTTTGGGTATTCCATACTTTTCCATAATCTTCCAGAGTCGTCTTCTACTAATCGAGTCATATGCTTTGGAGAAATCGATAAAAAGGCAGAGAAAGGGTTTATTGAATTCATAGTATTTGGCAATTGCCTCCTTCAGTATGAATATTTGATCGGTAGTTGATCTACCTCTTGTGAAGCCTGCTTGATGTTCACCTATAATATTTTATGTATACTCCTCCAATCTTTTTTGTAAAATCTTTGATAGTATTTTGTAGGTGCAGTTGAGGAGAGAAATACCTCTGTAGTTGGTGTACTCTTTTTTGTCACCTTGCTTATGAATAGGAATGACTATCGCTTCCTTCCATTCGTTTGGAATAACTTTTTTTCCCAAATATTCAGAAGCAATTTGTGAATCTCCTTCGTTAGTCTTGCCCCTCTTGCCTTAATCAATTCTGATGATACTGAATCCTCTCCTGGAGCTTTATTATTTTTTAATTCCTTGATTGCGTTTTCTACTTCTTGTACTGTTGGGTCTGGAACCATTGGTTCCACATTTTGAATTTGATACACTTCCTCGGTTTCCTCTTCCTCTTCTTCTAATTCTTCTACATTCGAGAGATCTTTAAAATACTCTTGCCATCCTTGTATCCCTTCTTTGCTCTGTATCACTAGTTTCCCAGATTTTTTTTTAATTCCATATGGCATTGGGCTATAACCCTTTCTGAAAAATCTTACCGATCGATAAAAGTCTCTGCTATTGTTTGCCGTCCGATCTTGTTCCGCCTTCTCTAGGATTTTGTTCACCCATTCTCTCATACCATTGTAAATTTTGAAGCTCGTTTTTTGTATCTAGTTCATGTCCAGTGACACTGATCGTTAGTGTTGACAAAATTTTGTTTCTATTATTTTAGGGTTAATTTCATGATTTGTGCTTTACTGTTTGGTTATATAACTAGGGAACGAGTTATTGTTGATTATTATATCGTTTTATTTGGTTGAACGAGGTTTTTAATGACTGTAACAACAAGAAACAAATTGTAAACAAAACACAACCTCCTATAGTGCACCAGACAGAACTAACAATAAAATTTGCTTCGGCTGTTCCAGAAGGATGAGAAACCTACTAAGGCCTTTTTTTCTGCCGACTATTTTGTCATAGTCAGGAGTCAAAGTCGGCCCCATGGTGGTAAATCTGAGCGTGCACATGGGCCGACTGCAGGCAGACAGTCTGGGCATTTTGGGGCTGACCGATTTTCCTGCCGACTCCTCCCCGACTCAACTGTCGTGTCGTATTGATAAAGGCATAGAGACAAGTTTGATCGCGCACACTGACGACTAAAAAGTCTGTCAGTCTGACAAGAGTTTAGTTGTGTGTGCAACGCAGACATTCAAGTGCAAATGGCTGCGACAGGTGAAAGTGTTTTGCGAGACAAAAAAGTTGATAAACTTATTGATGAAGTGGAGGCCCGGCCCCCTCTTTACAAAAGTCTTTGAAAAGAGTATTCAGACATAATATTAAAAACTACCAACACTTATTCGAGAGTACATGAAAAATTTGTCCGCATATTTCCTCAAATCCGAGTATAAGAGGTAAAACTGGTCTTCCAAGGCTCACTGACTATAAATTGGATGGACCCAGTATTTTCTTTTACGTTTTCTTGCACAAAATCTGGTCAATAACGTATATATGACAGCGGTTTCTGTCATATTCATCCTTATGACTTTCTAAAGACGACTAAACAGTTGTGGCGTGTGCGTGTGCACAGTCAACGACCAAACAGTCTTGACGACTTTCCGACTGTCCACCCTACTCCAGCCAGACAGTCGACCCACAAAAAGTCTCTCGTGTGCGCTAGGCTAAGGGAGTATGTTTTATCTATGCTAATGCCAATAACAAAATTCAATACTATAGTCCTCTTGTTTTAAATATAGAGAAAGAATTAAAAACAAACCTTCAACAAATCAACAATGTATCTTGGATTTTTATAATTTGTCAAGAAAATTTAATCTAGAATAAATCAAAGTGAAATATTTGTTCTGAATTCTAGGTACTTTTTACAGTTGAGCGATAAAAATAATATTTTTTTGTTACCTATATATAGGGGAGTCGCTACTCAAATTAGTGAAAAATCTTCAAAAATTCAAAATTTTGTTTTTGTTCCTAAATTATTATATATATCTTTTTACATAATAAAAACCACCCAAAATCATTTTTACATACATGTACCTAGGGGAAAAAAAATAAAACAAACTGTTTTACGGTGCGACAAAGACAAGTAGGCTAATGTAACCAAAGGCTTATAAAAAGGTATGTGCATATGTTATTCACAACTTAGCCCTAAATAAATTGTAGTTTATAGCTTTTTGAATTCTTATTTGTTTGTTACCATGGCATTGTAAAAAAAAATTACCAAAAATGGTTTTTTATTAAAAAATGCTAATTATTTTGTATAGTAAAACACATTTGCCGGAAATCTTCTGTTTCCCGAAGGTTGTGTTTTTCCATGTTTCAGCCTAAAAACTTTTATATTCCAAAAAAACTACTTGAGCCACAGTTCTGAAATTTTGTACACACCTTTTGCATATAAAAACCTAAAAGAACACGTATTTTGAATCCATTTGGTAAAATTGTTTTTATATATAAATTAACAAAAAATTTTAAAAAATTAAAAAATATTTTAAGAATATTTTTTAATTTTTTTAAATTTTTACTATACTATACTATACTATTGTCGCACCGTAAAACAGTTTGTTTTATTTTTTTTTCTCCTAGGTACATGTATGTAAAAATGATTTTGGGTGGTTTTTATTATGTAAAAAGATATATATAATAATTTAGGAACAAAAACAAAATTTTGAATTTTTGAAGATTTTTCACTAATTTGAGTAGCGACTCCCCTATATATAGGTAACAAAAAAATATTATTTTTATCGCTCAACTGTAAAAAGTACCTAGAATTCAGAACAAAAATTTCACTTTGATTTATTCTAGATTAAATTTTCTTGACTTTTTTTTAAATAACAGCAAATTTTAAGAATTTGCTGTTATTTAAAAAAAAGTAAATGTTTCTGTAATACAATAAAAATTCGTGATATTAAAGTAAATTTAATGCTGAACAAAAGTATACAATTTCCATTTGTGTAAGGTTTATGGTTTTCTTTAAATATCAATTTTAAAAATGTTCCGAAAAAACAATAAAACCCATTTTTAGGGCACATAAAAAAATATATTTTTTATTAAATTTTTTTTTTGTTTTAGGTCTTTTTTAAGTATAAAAGCCTGATACAATGTAAAAATTAGTTAAAATAACAATTTTAGCGATTTCAGTAGCGACTCCCCAGACATTTTAATACCATTCATTTATTTAAGAAATCAATGTTTAGAAGATCCCAAACATAAATACTGGATCTTAGAAACTAGATAGAACCCCCATTGGTGGGTCAGTGACTCAGTAGGGGGTGCGATGGACTTTGAATTTATAACAGCAAAGTTAAGGGTTCGGATCCTAGTACTTGCCATTGATTTTTACCAGTAAAGCCCCCCTTGTACTTTATACTATATCGACTCATCCCTTGCTTTGCTGGATACATGCCTCTGAGGACGGGCAAATGCTACATCAAAAGAGAGGCCACCATCCTCTTAAAAAGTTGCCTACTCATCATTAGTTACTAACTACAACGTTTTGATATAAATCATTGACTGTAAATTAGTCTTGACAGCTCAAATGGATTAAGAATTTGAAAAATACCTAGGTTGTAGCCATAGCCCAAGTAGTTTCAGAATATATCTTCAACATGCTTAATATGTTGTAGCCATAGCTCAAGTGGCTCTAGACACCCGACTAGGCTGCCTTGACGATTGTTCACCCGAGACTCAGTCTCTCATAGACGCAGTCAACACATTCTTCCACAATGTCGGTGTGTTGGAACTCAAGGTCCCGTTCTGGCGACTATTCAACACTCCCACCTGGCGCAAGTACATTGGAGCTCTTGACACTATAACCAGGTAAATAACATCTTTGTCTTTATCACCTCAATCTAGCACATTGAAAGTCTTAAAATACAATAAAAAATAAAGATTAATAAACTTATTTATGTAGAGGCGAACTAGTCATCCGAAGGATAGATAAAGAGTTTTATTGTGCATAATTGATAAATCAATTACATTATTCCACTAAGTCTAAGTTCTTGACTGTTGGTAGAGCTAGATATTCCATCCCCAAGTTAAAGCTGTTGCCAGTTATTGTTAGATCAAAATAGACGTTGTTGAATTGAGCCATCCTCAGATTGCGCTGATGTAAGTTACTTATTTCTGTCAAATAAAGCCGTTTTTTTAACCAAATCAAACTGATGACAGGCTATGATAGTATCTTTTACATTACATCAACTATCTCAATAACAAAAAATAAGGTACAGTAGGATATATAATTTTACTGAGTCATTCAACTAGGTTATTTTGAAATTTTAAAAAATTTGCAAGAGCTGGTCCAAATGTGATGTATTTTTCAGTATCCAAAAGTGTGTGGTAAAGTGTTAGAGCAGGTAGTAAACAAAACAACAATGATAGTATAGATGTGTTGCACTCTCTGTTCCTCAGTATCACAATGAAACACATCTCCGCAGCACTAGAGAGGTTGCAGCAAGGCAAGGGTGGGGAGTGCACAGCACAGTCATCATTACTAGAGAGAGTGTTGACCCAGGAACCTGTCAACCCTCGACTGGCTTGTATTCTGGCAATGGACATGTTCCTGGTGGGCATTGACACGGTCAGTATCAATATCATTACTTTAAGATAGCGTCACACACTTTGGTGGGTATTTTAAGCTAAATATGGATGCAAGGTGAGTGCAGAGACACAAAAGCTGTGTAAAAGGTGCAGGGAGACATCTTGGTGATATGGGGTATAAAATTAAACTTTGCTATTTGATGTGGGATAGTGAAAATAACTAACAAAACAAACATTCAATTACATCAGAATAAAACTAAACAAAAGCTATGGCATGTGCTGCAACATAAGAGTTACAGTAAGAATCTAGTCAGGTATAATACTCTTGGACTTTGATCCATAGAGTGCTGTTAGTGTGGTAGACAATTAGGTCTACCACTGGCCGAGTGGTGAATACCTCTTGGATCCGGTTAACCGGTTGGGTGTTTCTTTGAGAGTTTCACCTTACATCTAGCGTTTACTACTTTTCACAAATCCTTACTGTGTGTAAACCTCAACTTCAACAAATATTTGTTTGAACGTTCAATCGATGATGTTGTGAATTGCTCCTTTTATAACTAGGAAACTTTTCTTTCAAATCAACATGGTTATTTCTTATTTTTGCAATTAACTGTTATAAGTTTTCAGTTTAATGTGTAGATTTCAGAGCTAAATTTTATAGACTGGAAGGACTAAAATGCCCACTATTTCAAATAAAAATAATAATAATGTTAATTTATTTTTCTTACAGGTTATATATTTTCATTCCTTTTAATTTTAAAACTGCATTCGTTACCATTTACATTGGTCAAACAAATTGTAATGTCCTAAAGTTTTACTGTTCCCAGACTTCAGCAGCAGTGGCATCCATATTGTACCAGCTGAGTCAACACCCAGAAAAGCAGGAGATTCTGCACAATGAGGTATATTATGATAGCACCATTTATTCAGTATAAATAATTATCAATATTTTCCTATGCTTGGATATCATATAACTTGAATAAGTGTTCTCAGATATATGTACAGCTTTCCCCAAGAATTCACTTTGTCTTTGGTATTGAAGAATATTTAATAATTACAAATGCCTGATGTATGAGAATAGTCCTACACTATTGTAAAAAATATCTAAAAAATAAATACAATTGAAGGATTTATTTAGTTTTTTTCTTCTATTTATGCTTTGATTGATCTGATCTTATGTTAAGGTTGAATAAGAATATACTGTAATAGTTTTAATATTATTACTTACTAATATGACTAATTATACTGTTACAAATAATAGTTGTAAGTGTCATTATTTCTTTTTACTGAGTTATTATTTATTTTTGAGCTTAAGATACTAATGTTTTAATAATTCATTTTTACTGCAAACAACTTTTAAATGAACTTAGTTGGGCTCTTCTTCCCTTCAAACAGACAAGTACCTATAGTCTTGTGAGGAATAGTCAATAGATTTCTATAATTTTGTAAATTGATGTATTAGATTTTGGAAACATGTAGCCTGTACCTGATGACCTGTTCCTATAATGGTTTATCCCTGGTCTAGGTGAGCCAAGTGCTGACATCTGGGGAGCCTCTCACCTCACAACGTCTGGACCAGATGTCTTACCTGCGAGCTGTCATCAAGGAAACTCTTAGGTAATCACTGACCTGATGGTATATCGTATCTTATACAATACGAAACACTGTTTGCTACAGCAAATCAATATCTAAAAGTTTCTGTCTTGGACTAAGGTGTAAAAGGACAGGTTCAATTCCCAGTATATCAACAAAATTTCATGAGTTTGGATCACTTTCACTTAAATTTGTTCGCAATTCTTGCCCACAAAATACTTCTGGTGTGGAAACTAATAGATAATAAAAAGCTGTATGAAAGTGAAGGGGTTCATCGAAAACCATTTTTCAAATACCAATGAATAGATTGTAATTAAATTTCTAACACAGAGCCTATAGATGCATATAAAGATATCAATTTCTTGGAATCGTACACAAAGGGTTTATTACCCCTGTAGACCTTCAGAATTTCTAATACTAAAAAAAATAAAATAACTCATTATTCCAAATTAATTTCAGAATGTATCCAGTAGTGATCGGCAATGGTAGATGCATGACCAAAGACTCTGTCATTGCTGGCTATCAAATACCAAAAGGGGTAAGTTTGTCATACGGTATCAAATTTATTAAAAGAGTCAGTGGCGACGTGGCCAATATATGGAATATATTTTGAGGGGGGAACCAAGATTAATGTAAGGTTAGGTTGTGGGTACTTTATCTCAGTTTTGCTGCTTAACTAGAGTTAATTTGCGCTGAATGCCACTTATTTTACTTTACCGAGATCACGCTTCTTTATTGTTGACATCAAATCATAAAAAAATATATCTATTATATGGTACTTATTTTTGTCTTCATATTCATTATTTTTGGGGCTCCTGGGTGGGCCCTTATATTTGCCCCTTATTGAAGTGTATCATATTTTTATCAGAAAAACATGTATTTTATTTTAGTGAATTTCCCATTTAGGGAATAATGCTATTACTGTAGGCGGGACCGATTCACTTTTTAATTTCTAAATTCCCAGAGGTCAAAAACATCATTTGTTCAAATTTGCACTTAGAGAAAAATGGAATATTGTATTTTCATGTTCATTATTTGAAGGACAACTATTTTTATTTTAAGGTAAAATAGATAGATTTTTCCAATCCCTAAGTGTGTTAACTAAACTGTTAAGGTCTCCTTACCTCCTGAAACTTAGTGTGGTTTAAAGGAATTATCGATAAGAAATTTCCATCAACTTTACGGTACCTCTTCAGAAACATCCAGCTCGTGTTTTTTGAACAGAAACTTTTAGTAAAAAATTCTACTGTTTTCAGACCCAAATAGTTTTCCAACACTATGTGATCAGCAATTCTGAGGAATATTTTTCTGAGCCACACAAGTTTATCCCTGAGAGATGGTTGAAGTGTAGCAGGGAGCAACATCACCCATTTGCATCGCTGCCCTTCGGCTACGGTCGTAGGATGTGCCTCGGCAGACGCTTTGCAGAGTTGGAGATACAAACTCTGGTTGCTAAGGTGACTGACATGGTTAAAATCTTTGTTAACATAAGCAACTCAATTATTAGTAGCTTTACTTCGTTCACAATATTTAGGCGGTTTGAAGGGAAGTTCCCCCAACCACTTTTTTTGTATTTAATGTATGTTGCCCAATCAGCAGCTGAGCTATTTTTTACGGTAAGGGTCAATGGTCAAGTGGAGGGGATAAATTTCTTCCCCTAAAACCGCCTAAATATTGTGAACGAATATACTACATTGCATTGATTAAATCATTCTACTCATGGAGACTAAATGCAGGCAGTCAAAGCAAAACGTAGCTGTTCCGTGTTCCTGTAAATAAGCCACTTATCTATATATATAATTCTGTAAGACCAGATTTTTACCAGAAAATTGTGGACGTCTGGTAAGTGGCAGAAAAGTGGGAGACGTCTTAATTTAAAGGTCTTGACCCCAGGGACTCGGGAAAAATAGCAGAATTCCCATAAAGTTACCAAAAAACGAGATACAACGTAAACTATCCACCATAATAAATGCATAGGGACTGAAAAACGTCTGCATTCTATCAGCTGTTATTTATTTGCAATGTTTAAATTTATTCTGAAAGTCAATGTTGTTAAATAATGTTTCAAAATGAAATGTATTCGTTTAATTTTTTCCCCGTTTTTATAATGAGTGAAGTAACTAGACAGGGTAGGGGAACACCTACAAGACGTAGAAGAGTATCCAGGAATTCAACTGACACAAGAAATGCTGAAAGAGAACGTCATTTAAGGCCTAACTATAAAAGAAATCCACAAGCTGGTTAACAACCAGCCTTCAGAAGAACGCTGGAAAATGAGTTGAGTGTTGCTTCTCACAATCTAGGTCCTCTTAACAGCACTTGCATGCATTGTAGCGCATTTAACTTCGCAGTGGAGGCCAAAAATGGACATTTCAACGCATTTTGCCACAATGGACTCATTAACGTGCCACAACCAAAAAAATGACGAACTAAAAGAACTGTTTTTACATGATTCTAACTACATAAAGAACATGAGGCAATACAACAGTGCAATGGCCTTTGCGTCGCTTTCCGCTACACAAAATGGACCTTACTGTTTTTAAATTCAGGGACAAATTCATAGATATATTTCTGACTTACTACAGCGAAATGGGGAGTTGGCTTCATGGGCAATTGTATTTCATTGACACATCAGAAGCAACTAATATACGACTCCAGCGGAAGGAAAACCAAGATATAAAACAGGAAACACTGTTAATTTAATTAAAGTAACATAACATTTATAATTTTAAAAACATATTTCAAGTATTTGTCTTTTTATATAGTTTTTTTTTGTCTAAATTAGGGGCTATTAGGGGCCCCTACAGGCCCATAGTTAAAATTATTTTAAATAACTATGCCTACTGTAGTCAAACACTAAAATATTGTAATACATAGGCTATATAACTGGGTCGCCAAAATTGTACCCCCCACTGATCGTTGATGTCATTTTAGAGGGGGTACAATTCCCCCAGTACACTTTGATTTTAACGAAATCTAATCTATTTAATGTGGGCAAGTGATTAGTGAACCGGATAGTTGTATTAAAAATTAAAAAGAGCAGGAGATTTACTGCCCGGAATTGTAACCCCTGTCAGAAAACCAAATGTGTAGAGGGTGGAATTGTACCCCCCTGTAACCTGTATACCTCTTGGAGAGGTAGCGTGGCTTGTGTACGGGCTGGAGTTGTTCCCCTCCCTGTAACTGTAAAGTAAAGTAACTGTAAGTAACAAAGTAACATCTTCAATAGTCTTTCAATAAACTTAAGTGGTAGGCCTATCATTAAGACTAAATAGTAGTGAATTCCTTCTGAAGTGATGACATATGTTGGAGTGATTTTTAAGCTTGTACAAAAAATAGTGATTGTTCTAAGGAAATATAATTGTGAAAGGATTGCCCAAAGATTTTGCTTTACTACTTTAGTTAGCCTTGGACAATAAGGATACTTTAGTAATTATTTTTATCATTGTTATTTAATAAAACATTTTCTCAAAGTTGACCTCATACGCGTAAAAATTTTGAAAATTCGTAGGAAAAAGCCCTAAGTCAATTTCAAAACGTCGTAAGTACGCCTACATGATACAATATAGAATTCCTGATTATATACTTTGCCTGAGACAACCTCCCCAATCGACAAGTTTTAGGGTGATATGATGGACGATATCGTAACGCACAAGAGACTAACAGATATGACAGACGACATAGGCCTACATTGGATTTAATTTATTTCAGTTTGAAAAAAATCACATACAGTATAGGAATTAATTACTACACATCCATTTTAATTTCAGTGCGTGAAGAGGTTGGAATCAAATAGTAGGGAGAGGGGTTAAAATTCCAGGGGGCTACAATTCTGGCCTGTACAGTTTTTTAGATGCCGATGGATTTAATCGAACCACTCGTCCATAACAATATCAAGGGGGTTAATAATAATTAATAAGGGGGTTACAATTCCAGCCCGTATGTGCTTTTTTGTTGAGAAAATGAAACGTCATCGTGACATCACTAAGCTGTACAATTCCGCCACCCCATATAAATGTCACCGCCCTGGTGGTTAAATATCACTATAGCTGTTTTTTTTTTACATTTGATGATTCCATAAATTAAGTCTTAAAATTCTTGTTTTCAGATGGTTCAAGCATTCAAGATGGAATATCACTATGACAAGCTAAGCTACAGCATACATCCAATGTACATGCCTGATGGACCTCTCAGATTCAAGATGGTGGATCGTTAATCATTCTGTGATAAATTTTAGTTTATATTAAGTCAAATTGTACCAATACGTAGAAAAATTATTGAATCTATTTGTATATTGTTATAAAGTATACTTTTACATAATATAATACGATAAATGTCATTTGACAACAAAATTGTTTTCATAATCAATAAATTCTTGCCAAAGTATAATTTTTGTTGTTCCATAGTAAAATTCTGATTTATTTGTATTCATTTAAAGTTAGACCTTAGTGTAACTCCAAAGAGCCAACATGGAAACTCTCATTTCTGATTTTAAAAAGACAGAGCTGTGGTCCTATCCCAAGGGAGGAGTGGAATCAAGGTCAAACATGAAGAGAGAGAGGTAGCAATTAGTCTTGTGTTGGCTACCATTGTAAGTGAATGATGAATGGGGTGCCATTTACTCAAAAGTTGATTATCAAAAAATTAGAAGGCAGGAATCACAAAAGGCTAGTTAAAGTACAAGTACACATTACATGAAGCAGTGACGCCAGGAGGACAGACTAAAGACCAGACAATGAATTTCATGGAAATCAGATTCTGTGCAGTAGGCTAAGTACTTGGCAAACAATATGAATCCCTCAAATGTTCGAGGTCATTAATGACGAGCACCCTAGGGCATGGACCTGTGTGAGCAAAGTCCCCAGAGACTTGTCTATGTAGAGTATTTCTAAAGCCAAATCACTTACTTTCCCTCCATGAGTGACCTATTGATTGTACGAACAAATGTAAAATTGCTCCTTTCATTTTAAACATATTTACCAGTCTGTTCAGTCATCTCTGGATTTTACATACAGTAAATAGCGTAAACTTGGTGTTTTCAAAAATACTTAAAAAAATTTTGTTTTCAAAAATACTGAAACATTTTTTTAAAGGGAGACAAGACTCCCAGACAGTAGATGAGGTGCTTTACATGTTTATCATTGCTATTGAGTTTGCTGCTGCCACCATGATCCAGATGGCAACAGCAGCCTCAGTAACCAATGACGACACTTCTGAGACCAGCACCTGTACCACCCATACTGCAGCATTCAACAGCTTCACAGTGTCATCCCACCAGCAACACAGTAGGTGCCAGCATTTATAAGCATGGAACCACGTGTAATGAATGACACAAGCCTACGACCCTGCAATACATGCTCAGACAACAAGTGATCAGCGCTACAGCACATCATGCAACCAGCCTTGATTTGAACCCGAAACTATATCTAAATTGTTTGGCCATCCCACCAAAACCAGAAGCCCTGAGTCAATAAATAAAACACAGCTAGGAATATAATGTTTATTTTATTAAATTAACAATGCATTATTCTTTTATTATGTTTCTTAAACTGATAAAATTAAAGTAAATCATGAATGCACAACAAAAAGTTGTAAAATTATTGAACCCCACCAATAAAATAAGTTTAAGTTCAAAATGTTGTAATACTACATTACACAAATAATACAAAATAAGTCTTTTAGTCTTATTAGAATAGGTACTATACTCCGTTCACAATATTTAGGCGGTTTGAGGGGAAGTTTCCCCACACTTTTTTCTCCTTAATGAATTTTGCAACTAATTAACGTTTTGACAAATCTCAGCTGTTGAGCTATGTTTACTGGGATCAAGACGTGGAGGGGATAGATATCTTCCTCTAGAAACGCCTAAATTCTATGAATGGAGTATAATATACAATACAAAAAAAGTGTTGGCAGTTTTACCAAACTTATTATGAGCAAAACTTTCTAAATTTAAACACAGAGAGTTAAAACAGTAAAGTTTGTGTTGAGTGGATCGGCTGAGGGCAACACCATTTAAGAATCAAACTTTTTTGAGATTTATAAATACACTAGCTGACCCGGCGAACTTCGTATCGCCTAAGTTATAGGTTTCCCCTAAGACAGACCGATGGAAAGAAAGTACCGTTACGTTTAATTTTCAAGATGATCTCGTTCGCATCGCTCAATCACGTCCTGGTTGAAGTTCGTTCGCTACGCTCACTCACCTTTGGGTTGGAGCTCGTTCGCTACGCTCACTCACCTTTAGGTTGGAGCTCGTTCGCTGCGCTCACTTGCCTACAGGTTAGCTCGTTCGCTACGCTCACTCGCCTCCAGGTTGAAGTTCGTTCGCTACGCTCACTCACCTTTTGGTTGCAAATTAGCTGTTGTCATAAATGTAAAAGAAATAATAGTGCTGCACCCTGTTGGTAATCCTTGTAACTTTAATGCTATTGAACATCATAGAACAGAACCATTGAAACAGCTGTTAAGATTCATTAATTCCATTTCTCATAAGGTTAACATGGGAAACTCCAGAGCCACTGGGGCGGAGCCCTTTTAAGAATTTCGAAACGGGAAATAGTTTACGTCCGATTCGCATGCCTACAGAATTTACACACCAAATTTCATAACGATCGGTGAAGTCGTTCCGGAGGAGTTTGCAGACAAACACTGTGACACGAGAATTTTATATATATTAGATTTTAAACATAATCGTAACCATTTTATTAATTTTTTATTAAGAAGCTTATTTGATGGCTCCAGTTTTGCACATTGCACTTTATTTATCATTGTAATATTAGTACGATAACTGATAGTGTCAGAAGAATGTCTTAAAATGCTTACGGAATATTCAAATTGGGAGAAACAGCAAACTGTAAATTGAGTTTGTAAAAAAGAAAATCTAATTTTCAGCAGTTACAACCAAAATATGTGGAACCTTTAGCTAACAAGGGTCCTGATACTCTTGAGCAGATAAAAACAGCTCTGATCAACAAAGTGGTTTAAGTAGATTAATGGATTGAGTTAATTCTCATAAAAACTATTATGACAGACATTTTTATAAAATTTTTCTCCTAGGACGCTAGGCCCTAGTACGGGATCGTTTTTCACAATACTTCAGGATAGCCCTAGGGGCTACAGCATTATTACTAAAATTCATTAGTGATTGGGTGAGATTTGAACCTAGGACCTCAAGGACTGAAATCCTGCGCTCTACGGCTAAGACCAGCTCAATCTCGGAATACATTCCTTATTAGGTAATGCTGTGTCTAAAAAGAATGGTTCTCATTTATACAACAAAATATAATTTTTTCAAATTGTTATACCCTTCTTAAATGTTTAAACAATGTACGAGTACAAAGAAAAAGACAAGTGAGAAATATTTTACAAATGATTTTAATTTAAATAGGCCAGTTTAGGTTAGCCATAAAAGTAAAATTAAGTAACAAAGTCACATAAGTTAAAAACAATTATAACAATTAACACAAGTAAAATAACTTATATAACAATTCATTTTAATGACATGGAATTTTTATAATACTGTTTTTTACTTAATTCAAAAACGAATTCACAATGAGTTAAAACCCCACCACATTACATGTAAGATAGTAATAATAAAACAAATTATGCTAACATAATAACCACAGAAATTACCACAAAAAATAAATCAAAATTATTTTAAAATAGCTTAGATATTTAAATATATTTAGTTTAAAACAAACACCCAATCAGTGCTCCTATTTACAGGTAAGTACAAATGCCTTAACATACAGGGTAACAACAATAAGCTATATCACAGGAAATGTACACTATTCTGTACAACCATTCAACATTGTAAAGAGAAAGTGTCAACATCTTGACATTCAATCCTCCGAATGAACAGATTATACTAGAAAATTGACAATGTTGTTACAATAACATTAGTTAACATGAGTCAAATTGTAAGACTTATCTTGTCTTAGAGAAAAAATTGTCATGCTTACCTTTACAAAGCACATAACTATTCACTTGAATGCATGAAAGATCAAAAATGTATTACTTTGATACCGTTCAAACTTAAAGGAGGATAAAACTAAGATATAATCCAGGATCTACTTCATTATAATGTGCTCTATAAACAAACATGTCTAATTAAAATACTTTCAGGTTGTGTTAGTTGGAGAAGATTTGGAGATGTAAGTTAACTAGAAGCAGGAATTATATCTAATTATACCTGAATATTAAAATAATCTGTAACATAAATAAATAATAAAATTACTAAAAATAACATTTCTTTACTAAAACATTCATCATATTTCTTATCGAATCTTCTTATTGACAAATGTTTCTGTAATTGTTAATTAATACTACAACTAAATAAGTACTAAACCAGTGTCTCAAATACCTGATTAAAATGTGATGTTATACAAAGTTCAGGGAAAGCAATTCTCGAATCTGCTAATGACTATTTACTCTATTATTCTAAATTGTTTATTTGGTCTTGTTTAAATTAACTATTAAATGCAGGGGGAATTTTATACTTATTATGTCAGTCTAAAACCATTGTTATTTTGCTTAAAATTGATAAACATCATAATGCGTGCGACAAACCCAACTTACAAAGGTACAAAGGATTTTCACCACGATTGAACCTGTATTCATTTTAATACAGGTGTTTTCCAGGACAAGTACCAACTACACCAGCAGAGATGTGTAATGTTTTAGGCCACAACCAAGGAAACAGACGAGGAAGTTGAGCTTAGGAGAGTCTTGAGCAGCAAGAATCACCTATAGAAGTTGTCCGTCCATTGATTGTAGGATTTGTCTGATCATACCTGGGCAGTTCTTTACATCGAGCTTGCTGTTGGAAAATAAACAGAGATAGCATAAAAGACAATCACTCACATTCACAAAGGATCACTAAAATGATCAAGTTGTGTATTAAAATCACAACTTTCAGTGATCAAAAGGAAGCTAAAAACGTGATTTATACTTGGCAGGAATGTCAATTTTCTTTCAAGATGTTTTCAAATAGTATGACAAAACCAATGGTCCCATAAGGGTGAAAACCAGATATAATAGTAGTGAGGTATTATAATTATATTATATTATAATAGGGAGTGTTGCACGACGTCCAAATGTCACAATGTCCAATGATATAAGTCAGTGTTACGACATCTAAAATATAATTTTTGAGCTGTCTAATGACGTCCAATATAAACTATTTGACTGTAGCACAAAGTCAAATTCGCATCATGTCTAAAAGTACAGTAACTGCAAGAAACACAGTCTTTTCTACTAGTTTTGGGCGTCATGGGATTGGCTCGTCGTGCAACAGCACACTTTATACTCTTAAAAACTTGTTGCAGGTGTCGTCCAGAGCTCTTGCATACGGAGCAAGGTTAGATTAGGTTAAGTTATGTTAGCTTAGTATGCCTTACAGACGGTAAAATAGTACTCTGTGTGCAGGCGCTATGGATGTCGTAAGAATGCGCTGAGCTATTGGACGTCTTGCAAGTGGCAGCGTGAAACAGCTCAAAAACTATATTTTGGACGCCGTGCAATGCATCCATAGTGGATGAAGTAAAGAACGTGACGTTGGTCTCAGATTTGAATTAGTTTCCTGAGTTGTGACGGGAGCTCAATGGAGACCTTAATTTACAGACAACTCTTGTACTTGCTTGAACCTATTCTGAACTTTTACCTATTCTTGCCACACACAATTGTCCAGGTTTGCCATGAAAACGCAAAGGACCAAACAAAAGTCCTGATGTACTGGAGTGACCATGCATACCTCCATGAGCTCAGCAGCTATCTGCAGAAAGAGTCTCTCCACATTGTCCGCCTCTTTAGCTGAAGTTTCCAGGTAATACATATTGTGTCTCTGGGCAAAGTCCTCACCTACATGAGTGGGAATCTCCCTGTCTTCTCTGTCAATTTTGTTACCTAATAAAACAAATAATAATTTACTAACATGTATTTTTTGCCCAGTAATAAAACCCTAGTGTTTAAAGGATAGATCATTTTCAGGTTACAATTTTGATTTGTTAGCACTACAGTATTTTCTTATGTAAGATAAAAGATGATGTTTTGTAAGTTGGCATTGTCGTTCGATACCATTTTGTTAATAAGCGTTATTTCATTGAAATATTAATTTTAACTGTTCAATCAATTTTGAAAAGTAAGGAAAATTTTACTTTTGACTATTGATACAACTTCAGTATCCAATAGTCAATCTGATTTTAATAACACAATTTTGAGGAGCGAGCTGGTCTAGTGGTAGAGCGTAGGACTTCGGTTCCCGAGGTACTGGGTTCAAATCCAGTCAACCACTAATGGATATTATCCATGTGATAATGCCACAACCTTCTAGGACTAGACTGAAGTAATGTGTAAAACAGTTCTGGGCTAGAACTAGCATCCTAGGACGTGGAAATAATCCTACTAATAATATTATAAATGAGAAAGTTTAGATGTATGGATGTATGGATGTATGGATGTATGTTTGTGACAAGTGAACGCGAAAAATACTGGTCGGATTGGGCTGAAATTTGGCATGATGATAGCTCACATTCCCGATTAACATATAGGCATATTCTTATTTCAAAAATCCTTTCGGGCTCCGCCCCAGTGGCTCTGGAGTTTCCCATGTTAACCTTATGAGAAATGAAATTATTGAATCTTAACAGCTGTTTCAATTTAACAAGTTGGTTCTGTTCTGTGATGTTCAATAGCATTAAAGTTACAAAAATTACTAACAGGGTACAGCACTATTATTTCTTTTACATTTATGACAACAGCTAATTTGCAACCAAAAGGTGAGTGAGCGTAGCGAACGAACTTCAACCTGGAGGCGAGTTAGCGTAGCGAACGAGCTAACCTGAAGGCAAGTGAGCGCAGTGAACGAGCTCAAACTAAAGGTGAGTGAGCGTAGCGAACAAGCTCCAACCTAAAGGTGAGTGAGCGTAGCGAACGAGCTCCAACCTAAAGGTGAGTGAGCGTAGCGAACAAACTTCAACCAGGACGTGATTGAGCCATGCGAACGAGATAATCTTGAAAATTAAGAAGTTAAACGGGGCAAAGCCCGCGGGTTACAGCTAGTAGGTAATAAATAACCAAAAATATATAAAAAAAATTAACAAAATCCAAGCATTGTTGTAGAGCGTTTGTGTAAAATAAATTAAAATTATGTGAGAAAATCAGAAAATTAATCAAATTATTGTAACAAGAAGAACCATAATGGAATGTTTATTTTTACAATATTATGAATTATTTAAAAATCATCGGCTGTTCTAATATTAATTTTAAACAGGCTAAAGAAAAAATATAAGGTAAAAGAACTGAACAACTGTGGAATAATTTTAGTAATCATGGCTGAAGAAACTGATTGATAAATATGATGTATCAGGTTTAGTTTTAGATGTCCAGTCAGTTACAAATATTATCACAACAAGCGCACGTGTGTTGAAGAAACCAACCTCAACTCGTGGTCCCCAGTAATTGGGCTGTTTCTACAGTACAATGCAATACAATTTGACTAGCAAACATTATGCAAGAGTTAAACATACCAACTAGCACCCTGAGCACCTTGCTACTGGCGTACTCCTCTATCTCCCGCAGCCAGTCTGGCAGACAGTCGAACGTCGGCTGACAGCTGATGTCATACACCAGGATCAGAGCGTGTGCAGACCTGTAGTAGCTCTGTGTGATGGAGCGAAACCTCTCCTGACCAGCCGTATCCCAGATCTGCAGCTTTAATATCAACAAAATCATGAAACTTTATGAAATTGTTCTCTAAATGCCCACGAATGTTTCTATTTTATTCTCAATCTTAAAATTCCCTAGAGCTCTACCCCCAGGACTCCTGGGATAGCGTTTTTGTATGTTAACTTGTTTCATGGTAAAATAAACGGTGTCAGCAATTTGACACATACTTTCTCCCATTATAGCTTGTCAACAACAACCTTTATCCTTTATCAAGAGTAAGCGGAGAGAACAACTATGATATTTTATAGGAAAAATCACAAAAGTTGCAATAGCTTTTGAACCGTAATTTTTACAGCAATGGAGGGGGCACTATTTTTACTTTCTCCCCCTATACCATAGTATATGGAGAAAGTATTGTTTTCGTCAAAATTTTCGAGTTTGAGTTTTGAGTGGATATATTCGTTTTGGGTCCCCCTGGACCCAAAAAAGTGGTTTTCGTAGTGATGTCTGTGTGTGTGTGTGTGTGTCTGTGTGTCTGGATGTGTACAGAGCTAGAGACTACACCTGTGGTCCGATTTCGATGAAATTTGGTATGTAGGTTCTAACCCATGGTATCTCCAGGAGCTTTTTTAATTTTTTGAAATTTTGATTTTTAATGGGGATTTTCCCATAAAAACCCATAAAAAACCGGAAAAATCGGATTTTCTCAAAAATGGCCTGAACGATTTTTATAAAAATTTAGTATGTTGTAGCCCTTTAAATTCTGAACAAAATGGTAAAAATCCAATTTCTGTAAAAATTACGGTTCAAAAGTTATGGTAAATTATGTTATTTTCCCATAAAAACCCCATAAAATAACGAAAAATAGGATTTTAGACAAAAATCCGGTTTTGATTTAACATAGTACGAGGTGTTAGCCCGTCCTACGTACGGGAATTCAGTAGTCAGTTAAAACCGTGTACAATTCAAATCAGCTAGTTTACACATATAAAGACAAAGTTTCTTGCAGTTTTAATGTGAAAAATCATCTTGTAAACAAATGTTGTGTGACCAAATATGTTTTTATTCCATCATAGGCTTAGGGTACTGTTTCTTAACTGGGCTATGCTAATATCGATTGAAACTATTGATTCGATTAGTAAACCTTCATGCGTTGTTTTCACCGTCAGCAAGTTTGGTTGGTTAGGTTAGGTTATGATAGCATAGCCCAGTTAAGAAACTGTACCCTAAGCCTATACGACATGCATTTTAAATCCGATAATTTTACAATAAAAGAGCAATTCTGCAATTTTTACGATGTGAAAAGCGTTGAAGTGAAATTTGCAGCCGATTCGCACAGACGCACACTGATTATAAGTAGCCTACAGTAGAGAGAGTAATAGTCAATTGAGAAGTGTATAGACTTAGTCAACGATACCACCTTCCATAGCATACCTGCCTCTTCCATAATTATTATCACCACAATACAACTACTATACACAATTTCCAGTAGGTCTGAATAGAAACGACCTAAAATAAAACGATAATATCCAATAATATTCACAGTACACATAAATCGTCACACCTATCCTTTATATCAATTTCACTGCATTAATTGCTAAATAAATAGGTAAGTGTAAACAAAGAAAAGTAAAAACAATAACAGTTTGTTTTGAAACAGCTGTTTGGTTCAACTAACATTAATTTGAAAAAAAAAGAACTCACGATTACTAAAAGAACTGGTCACATGTAGCAGGAATATAAAAAGTAAACACGCTAGTAAAGCTAATGACGTAATTGTCAATGTTTATTATCCATACCGTTATCAGTTCTATCCTTAATAATTACCCACCCTCATTGAATAAGTGTACATTGTAATTTCCCATATTAGTTAATTTAAACTACAATATATTCATAGTTAAAATAAAAGTGATATTTTCACGTTTGGGGGCGCTGATATAGGCGCCCCTAAACGTAACCACAACTGAACACGATTTCATAAAAGGATGGTTTGTCTAATTGCAGTATCCTACGTCAATTGTTGACGTTGTGTTCAATCTTTGTATAACACTCGGCTGAGGTTGTGGTGGTAATTTAAAATTGTGATTCCTGATTATTCTTGATCTTCTTTTTATGACATCAATATTTCCGGGCCTAATCCAAACAAAGTTAAGTAGACAAACATTAATTGTAAACAAAAAGCTACCATGAAGAATTAAAACATGTAAACATTGTTATTTTTCTATTCTTTCTTCGAAAATTTGAATAGTAAAATAATTTGCATTTATCCTTTTTTATTAAGACTCGTGTACAGAGACTCGATTTGTACTGTGGTTTAATTAATTTTGGTCTAAATTATTTTAAACTGTGGTCTTATTATCTCTACTAATCTTACTTATTTCCTATAATCAATGACAAAATAAGAGTAAATAAAATAACCTCATAGTTCCATAGTTTATATTTAACCAGCTGTTAGTTAAAACAAATTATATTGCTCTAAAACAAATCGAAGATTACAAAGATTGCTTTAAAAAAATAATTTGAACATCCTAGTATTTTACTATGTATAATTTTATTAATCTGTCATCCTCTTACAGAAGAATTGAACGTATCAATGATTTGCATTCCACATAGTATAAATAAGTCAACCCTAAGTATGTCTTTACATTTTTATCCAAATGCTGAATTTGTGACACAAAAGCTGAATGTTTACAGCTGTTATGTTAAGCAAATTATTTTATGCCAAAAGCTAGTTTAGAATCTTAGCGTCGGCTGCTAGACTTTTTAAAAATTAAAACTTAATTTCTAAAAAACTGGGACCCTAAACTAAAATTATGGCTTCGACATTCCCTAGTTTTCAAAATTTTCTTTCTTTCAACACAAAAATCGTGAAAATCCGTCAAGTGGTTGATTCAGAATCGTGAAATAAAAAAACACACTTTCGTTTTAATATTATAGATGTTATGGTCCTTACAATTTTGATAGTTTTTTTTTAGAAATTTTTATTTTTAATGGGGATTTTTCCATATAACCCCATAAAATGACGGAAAATCAGATTTTCCCAAAATTAGTCCGAACGATTTTGATAAAAATTTAGTATGTTATAGTCCTTTAAATTCTGAAGAAAATTGTACAAATCCCATTTCCGTATATTTACTCTCACCGCTTACACATGATAAAGGTTGTTTACAAACTTATGGGAGAAAGTATGTGTCAGAATGCTGATACCGTTTATTTTAAGAATTATAAGGACCATAAAATACTAGTTTTGATCAAAACTGGTTTTTAAAATAAGATTTTTTTATCGGCTTACCAGAATGAAATCCAGGGGCTATCAGAATGAATAATAAGATTTTTTTGTTATTTTAAGGGTTTTTGTGGAAAAATCACCTTTAAAAATCAAAATTTTAAAAGGCCTGGAAATACCAAGGATTAGTGCCTACATTATATAGGTACTGAAGTGGTAAGACTAGCTTTTAGCATTGGTAAATTAACAAATGAATAAATTTATAAATTATAAATTACTACATTAGGTGTACCAACTCTCAGCAACCAGACAGACCATAACTAAGGTCAACAAGACCAGCACCTATCATGAACCTTTTAAGTTACAATCACTAATCAGTAAAGTAAGTTTCAGAAATGAAATAATATTTTAACATTTTGTAAAAGTTTGATACAGAGAAATATGTTTTCTGGACAGTGGAATGAAATTGTGCTACTAATGAGTTAATGATGTAACTTTTAAACTGGTCAACAAGATTAGGTTAGAAACAAACAGAGAAATGTCTATTTACCTTCACTTTTTCGTTATCGATTTCAACTGTTTTAATCATGAAATCAACACCAATGGTAGCCCCTTGGCCTGGAGGAAACAGCCCCTAGAAATAGAAAACAAAATTGTCATATGTTTTTAATCTGTCCTCGTGCCGGTTCAAAAAAGCCTAGGCCTAATTTCTATCCATCGGCTGATAGCAATATCTGATACAATTCATTCTTCTATTTTGTGCATGGTGACACTTACATTACTTCTGTAATCAACTTAATTTGCATGAGTATAAAACCCCATTTTAAACCATTCAACCATTTAAAACCATACAACTTCATATGCAATTTCATACTTAACACTGTTGTACAAGTACACTCAATGCTAAAATAATCCATCTATATGGCTACATAATACAATAAAGGTTTTCATTGTTCTATCCCTTTTTCAGCTGTCCTACTAAACCAATTTTTACGATTGAGATGTCATTGTAAAGCTTACGATCTAGTGTGCCGATTTTTAAATCAAAAGATTTAAAATCCGCGACAGGCAATGGACAAGTCAGTCCAACATGACGTAACGCGGAAGGATACGAACTGGAAGACCGTTGGGAGCCGTGCCGTGTGCAAACGTCTCGTCGTCACTCGTGGCTCAGTAATCGCGTAGTCAACATGTGAAGTCGCGTTTTGTCGCTGGTGTAGGACGAATTTATTAATATCTTAATTCGTAGCTCGGAAATTAGCGTTCGGGCGGAAATTGTACATGCATCAAACGATCGCAATTGTCAAAATTTCGCCGAATTGCATTTGGGGGTGTGTTTTATTAGTATTAAGTCGAGACAGTTGAGATGCCGGATTGATTGTTCGCGTTCGTGATGAAAATTCGTACATGCATCATATCGATAGCAAATGTCAGTTTCTAGCGAATCGCGGGTCGTCGTGACGGTATTTTCAATTGAATCATTAAACGCCAGCTCGAAAAAACAAGAATTAATAAGTCCTACACCAGAAAAAACCGTGTCGTGATATTCCGCTCGGTCAGACAAAAAGTCACAAAACCACGAGTCAGTTTTTAAATGTTCGGTACGCGTGAATCTTCGTCGGAATGAATGTTAATGTGTCGACATGTGTACGTAAGTAAATGTTTGTGTTATTTGTGTTTTAGTATTAAAATAGTCTTGCCAATCTGCCACATTTTTTCACATGTACCACTCGTTTTACAAGTTATGAATCATGTTTTGTTTGGTCTGAGATTTTCATGTTTCATTTGGTCTACTTAGAGCACATGGTCACGATTCAGGATAAAATGTTTTAAATTTCTGTGCCGATTTTTAAATCAAAAGATTTAAAATCCGCGACAGGCAATGGACAAGTCAGTCCAACATGACGTAACGCGGAAGGATACGAACTGGAAGACCGTTGGGAGCCGTGCCGTGTGCAAACGTCTCGTCGTCACTCGTGGCTCAGTAATCGCGTAGTCAACATGTGAAGTCGCGTTTTGTCGCTGGTGTAGGACGAATTTATTAATATCTTAATTCGTAGCTCGGAAATTAGCGTTCGGGCGGAAATTGTACATGCATCAAACGATCGCAATTGTCAAAATTTCGCCGAATTGCATTTGGGGGTGTGTTTTATTAGTATTAAGTCGAGACAGTTGAGATGCCGGATTGATTGTTCGCGTTCGTGATGAAAATTCGTACATGCATCATATCGATAGCAAATGTCAGTTTCTAGCGAATCGCGGGTCGTCGTGACGGTATTTTCAATTGAATCATTAAACGCCAGCTCGAAAAAACAAGAATTAATAAGTCCTACACCAGAAAAAACCGTGTCGTGATATTCCGCTCGGTCAGACAAAAAGTCACAAAACCACGAGTCAGTTTTTAAATGTTCGGTACGCGTGAATCTTCGTCGGAATGAATGTTAATGTGTCGACATGTGTACGTAAGTAAATGTTTGTGTTATTTGTGTTTTAGTATTAAAATAGTCTTGCCAATCTGCCACATTTTTTCACATGTACCACTCGTTTTACAAGTTATGAATCATGTTTTGTTTGGTCTGAGATTTTCATGTTTCATTTGGTCTACTTAGAGCACATGGTCACGATTCAGGATAAAATGTTTTATTAAATTTGGTTATGTCATACAAAGGATTTAAGTTATAATAGTGAACCTAGTCAAATGAAAATTATTTCTTAAATTGAATTGAAATGGTGTATTAATTTAAAGAGCAATGTTTATCTGTGATATTATTATTTTTGTATTCTATGTAAAGTCAGATTCTATCATCGTCAGTATTATTATTTAAAACGTTTGTATTTCATGTGTAGAATAATTTTTGAACAGTATTACATTTTTTAATAGTGAGAGTTTGATTGTGTAACGTAAATGGGGGTAACAGAGTGCTCGGTCGAAGGCTAGGGTTGATAAAGGGTCATGAGGATAGACTCCCATTAAATTCATAAATATTAAATACTAAATAAAAAATTATCAAATAATCGACTCAGCAGTCGATTGGCCCCGTTGCACTGATCAGCAAGGAGTGATGTAGATCACAAACCTACATAATAGTCCCTGTTTGATTAAATTGTAAACTGGCCAGTTTGATAAGTACGAACATCTTTGGGGAGTCTGTGATCCAAAACAAATAAATAAAATCATCAAGGCTAGGTTTTCCCGAGACTTTGCAGTTTTAAAAATGAACAAACCGCCAATTTGAACATTCAATCTTGCAATCAACTCTCTCACTCTCTCTTTCAAAATATTGTTAAATTGTGCACAAAAAAGGTTATTACATTGTTTATATTTGTTACTTGTATCACAGCTCAATTCGACTCATTATACAGTATTTTTACAAATCACCATCTTTTCATTATCCTGTGTTTCAGCTGTTAGTATCATTAGTATAAAACTGGTAAAGTAAAGAGGTAAATGGCTTAACTGAAAGAGGTATACAAAGTATTCACAATGAGTGTTGATGATCACATTTTGTAAATATATTTTGACAGTGCAATTTTTATAAGTTCAGTTCATAATATTTAATATCAAATTGGTGAATTCATAAATAATCGGCTTAACCAAAATCCAGTGTATATAAACATCTTGAAGTCATACTTTTGATAAATATTTCTCTGAACAAACAGTCGATAAATATTTTCAATCAATATTTCAATATTATTATTTGCAATTTTACAGTTTTACAGAGTATCAATTCATATCACAATCTTTCATCAGAACAGCACATTTTAAATTCATGGAGTGTTCAAATAGACACATCTATTAGTTTTAAGAAGTGTTAGAATTAAGCTGAAGAAGGTGTGAAGGAGGACAACATATCAGACCTCTCACGGTCCATAAATCGGACTTCTGGGATATTTAATTACAGGGCCCACACTTAACATCTTTATTTCCACTGCGCAGCTCTGTGATTAATGTCCTCAGTAGTTCAATTAAAAGTGTAAATTAAATTCATTAAACCCCACCAGGGGGCAACTTTTTGTTATACTCACACCTGTATGGAATAGCCAAATTGCATTACATAAAGGTGTGAGGTGATTTTACTTAATTGATCATTCCATCAAGCAAAATCACCTCACACCTTTATGTAATGCAATTTGGCTATTCCATACAGGTGTGAGTATAACAAAAAGTTGCCCCCTGGTGGGGTTTAATGAATTTAATTTACACTTTTAATTGAACTACTGAGGACATTAATCACAGAGCTGCGCAGTGGAAATAAAGATGTTAAGTGTGGGCCCTGTAATTAAATATCCCAGAAGTCCGATTTATGGACCGTGAGAGGTCTGATATGTTGTCCTCCTTCACACCTTCTTCAGCTTAATTCTAACACTTCTTAAAACTAATAGATGTGTCTATTTGAACACTCCATGAATTTAAAATGTGCTGTTCTGATGAAAGATTGTGATATGAATTGATACTCTGTAAAACTGTAAAATTGCAAATAATAATATTGAAATATTGATTGAAAATATTTATCGACTGTTTGTTCAGAGAAATATTTATCAAAAGTATGACTTCAAGATGTTTATATACACTGGATTTTGGTTAAGCCGATTATTTATGAATTCACCAATTTGATATTAAATATTATGAACTGAACTTATAAAAATTGCACTGTCAAAATATATTTACAAAATGTGATCATCAACACTCATTGTGAATACTTTGTATACCTCTTTCAGTTAAGCCATTTACCTCTTTACTTTACCAGTTTTATACTAATGATACTAACAGCTGAAACACAGGATAATGAAAAGATGGTGATTTGTAAAAATACTGTATAATGAGTCGAATTGAGCTGTGATACAAGTAACAAATATAAACAATGTAATAACCTTTTTTGTGCACAATTTAACAATATTTTGAAAGAGAGAGTGAGAGAGTTGATTGCAAGATTGAATGTTCAAATTGGCGGTTTGTTCATTTTTAAAACTGCAAAGTCTCGGGAAAACCTAGCCTTGATGATTTTATTTATTTGTTTTGGATCACAGACTCCCCAAAGATGTTCGTACTTATCAAACTGGCCAGTTTACAATTTAATCAAACAGGGACTATTATGTAGGTTTGTGATCTACATCACTCCTTGCTGATCAGTGCAACGGGGCCAATCGACTGCTGAGTCGATTATTTGATAATTTTTTATTTAGTATTTAATATTTATGAATTTAATGGGAGTCTATCCTCATGACCCTTTATCAACCCTAGCCTTCGACCGAGCACTCTGTTACCCCCATTTACGTTACACAATCAAACTCTCACTATTAAAAAATGTAATACTGTTCAAAAATTATTCTACACATGAAATACAAACGTTTTAAATAATAATACTGACGATGATAGAATCTGACTTTACATAGAATACAAAAATAATAATATCACAGATAAACATTGCTCTTTAAATTAATACACCATTTCAATTCAATTTAAGAAATAATTTTCATTTGACTAGGTTCACTATTATAACTTAAATCCTTTGTATGACATAACCAAATTTAATAAAACATTTTATCCTGAATCGTGACCATGTGCTCTAAGTAGACCAAATGAAACATGAAAATCTCAGACCAAACAAAACATGATTCATAACTTGTAAAACG